CGCGAAATGTTCCAATTTTGAAAATATTGAAGTTCGTTAATTGTAAAAAAAGGGTAATATGCAATGTACAAGCATTCAAGTTCACTATTTAAAATAAGAATTAAAAATCTAATTTTCAATTGAAAACGGAACTCTCAAATCCTTCAAACTGCGGCAGCTTTATTCAATACTAAAGTGTGTTCATATTAAAGTATGCGATACAGCGCTATAAACTCTAGCAGTCTGATAGGAGCCTTATCCTCTTCCGGGGATCCGAGATACGTGCCAGTGACGTCATTATTGGTCCGCTCACGCCTGATTTATTATCTTAAATGAGCGTAACTCCACCCTGCGGTGATTTATGTACTTACGCGAAGTCTAACAATGTCAGTGTCAAGCCTGAAACCGCACACAAGAGGTCCCATTCATGGAAATGTTTTGTTGCGGTCATGCTCAAGATGATTTTCAAACGGTCCGCTGTTTACACTCGTATGGTACCGTACGCTTTGTATCGCTGAAAATGTTGTTGATAGCGAGTGTAGAATTTTCATTTTTTTAATACGAACTGGTTTAAAACGCTAAATGTTAGTTTTAAACTTATTTACAATATTTTAACTATGGCCCGATGTTTCGCATGCTTTCCATCAGCCGTGGTCACGGGAGACAGTCTCGCTAAAGTTTAAAGTGTTTTGTTTTAATGTGTACAGTACAAAAATACTATTTCGTTGGTCCAGCCATTGATACAAAGATAAAACTAAGAGGTACGGATAGCATGTTATTCCGTGGGTCCCATTTATCATAACTTATTTATCAGTTGTTAAAGCCCGTATTGTAACGGCGGGGTGGGTCTAAGCGTGGAACAGGTCTAAGTTAAAACGATTAAAACGCGGATTCTAAATTCAAAACTCTCTACTAAAAGTTTTCACAGGATGTTTTTTTAAAACAGTTTAAAATCTTATATCTTAATATTACGTATACAATCACTTAACAAAAAGTTCTTAATGATCTCAGATTATAGGCAATATTTAAAGAAGAACATGGTACCTTTTTTATTTAAAATGTTGTGGTATTATTAATAATAGTTTTGGTTGACAAGAGGTCAAGTAATATAATAAGCCTTGGATTTAAACCGTATACATAGATCGTGCTCGAACCTAGAACAGTAAAGGTATCGAAGAGTTCCAAGCAGGTTTGCTTAGGAGGAAACATTCCGCAAGGTGGCTGCGAACAACTCGCCGACATTCCAGCCGCAAATGCGTTCGGGGAAGCGTATGCGTCACCGCGCCACACAAAAAACTACAAATTTTCCCTTTCATTGCTTCAAGTGGCGAGTCGCTCATCATAAACGCATAACGCCACGTCGCGCACGCGCCTCTACATTGTAAACAATGCGTTTCGGGAATACCCCCGCTTTTTATGGAACACATTCCAGTGGAATTCCTTTTGTTTGCTTCTTAACGGTATGCGTTAAAAGTTTTTTTTTCGTAGCCGTCACATTGAAATTGTTTAACCTCGCCGCGAACTTTCGTAACGGTACACGGCTCGCAGCCTATTTCTCCGCATCGTATGGAATATCGAGTTCGTTACAAAACCATATTTACTACGAATTAATTACTGAACGACAACCTTATACTATATAACTTACAACAAGTTGAAGAATACTCAAATATTTTTTTCAGAAATATCATATACCATGTTAATTACTCAATAAAATTAAATATAAAAATTTTGCGTCTTCATATGAACTGTAGATGTCTGAAAAATAATATTAAATTACCAATGCCCTGTAAATTAAAAAGTGCAACACTATAAAATGATTCTAAACGGAGCAGCAGTGAAATAAAAAGCTCAAGAAGTGGATACGAAGCTGCGCAAGCGACGGGCCACCAAACAGGATGTAAGACTGGTTACACACACGCGCGCGTAACACTTACGAGCCTCTACGCACACATGCGCCGGCGGCCTCGCTCGCTCACGGAAATGTGCGTGCCACAGACCGGCTGCGCTGCCTTGGTTGGCTCATGCCAGTTTCGCGAATATTGTACGACCCGAAAACTGCACTGTTCATATGCTTTTATTAAACATATAACAAAATAATTAATAGATAGGTAACACTAAACAATATTTTAATTGCACAAAAAAAAACAAAGACTTCAAAAAGGGCTAAATAATGAGCTAAACATAACACAATTCCATATTCAAATTATATAAATCAGATGGACAATCTATTATTTGACATATAACACACAGAACTTTAAACAAAAAGCGTCAATAAAGAATTAATAACGCGCACAGATAACGCATAATAGTAGCGAGAAGCCGCGATTCATCGTGATCGCGATATTAATCGGAGGCTCGGAAACAATCGAGTTGATGCATTAAGCACGTTTGACTCGGTGCTATCTCGATCTAATCTCCAGCCACCTGTAAACAAGGTAAGCAAGTCCCAGCACCCCCTCAATGAATGGATAATGCCTGATCACGTGCTCCATTGTAGAGAAAAGGAACGGCCCTCGGTAATCGGTCAATCGCCGATTCGATATTGCGGATTAACACCTCTTCACGCTACGAAAATTTATGAATGGAGCACAAAAAATACTATGCTGATTGTAGATCACTTGTAGTAATATTACGCCGTTTATCGCGTTCGCTGATTTACAATGGCATTGCGGCGTATTAACGAAACAATCCGCGGCTCGCTTTGTTTACTCTCTCGTTCAGTTCTCTTCTGCTAGTTCTATTCATGATAGTCGCCAAATGACTAATTAAATTTAAAAGCCGTTTTAATTAATTTCGCAGTTCAACTATTCATGAAAAGGACAGTTAGCGAACGCTCTAATATAAAAAATACAGTTTGAATAATGTCAAACAAGTAAAGCGGCGAAATGTTCTTCTATAGCCCCGCTTTATGCCGGGTACACCCCACGCTATCTACCCCATTTTATAGTCGACTATAATACAGCGCTCGTTGGAGCGTAGGTAGCTGTAGCGCTGGATAGAACGGACGGCCGCTACGCGATGCTATTATGCGCTGCGCCCGTGTGCGTGTCCGTGCACCGACGGAGCACACAGGCGCGCCGGCACTGCGCGCCGTCCCCGCGGGCTTCGCCCCCGCTGTGACCCTCGTCAGCCCGACAGCGACATGGTTAAGCGAGCTCTGAGGCAATGCTGTGCCCGCTATCTATTCGTTCTTCACAATACCGAAGAAAGTCACTTTGACTCGCCCGGTTGAATTAAAAATTAATAATATCGACTTCGTTCTTCAACTATAAATTGTTAAGTTAAGTATAAATAGTTATACAGGTAGGTACTAACTCATTGCATTATATTATTATATATATAGCATTGCAATATAGCCCCTAAAGTATTCACAGCAAGCGGTGAGGTTATAAAATGCAGCAGTATGTGACAGAAGCGATAAAATAAACGTCAGACGTTTTCAAGTTTCGAATGGATAGAGCATGCGACGCGCTGCGCATCAGAAAAAGAACTTTACGACAAGATTAGAAAGAGCGGTCGGTGCGGCAACGTCGCGCGGCCACGTTCCACGCGACGGAGCGGCAACGCTCGAGCGACGTCATTTACTAAATTTATTTTCATGAGCGCCAGCCAGCGCTGGCGACGACACCGCTATTTCACTCGCTTCTATAACTAGTTGATTCGCTGCATGATTGTAATAATGAAAATGTTTTTGTTTTTGCGTACCTGTTAGCTGATTTTAATACGAAACAAACGGAATACTATGAACAATGTACGCGTATTTCGTGATAAAGGGATGCTTTGAAATTTGCAGTAGGTAGGTATTTTGCCAAGTGCTATGACTGATCGTTGAGTCAGCTATGCAAAGTTAAAAATACATACATTGTTTTGGTATTTAATACTAATTAATTAATTTAAGGGACAAAGGGAAATTTAGAGTGATTTTTATTTATATTGTTTATGAAAACGCCCTTATGTTTTTATTGAACATTCAACAACGATACAGCTATCTTGAAATTAGTTGAATATTTATTCTCATGCAAATCAATCTTACACGTAAAACAAAGCTTTGTTAATTTATTACTATTATATGCAACCGTCAAATAATACTCCTAGAACTTAATAGCCCAGATAGCGTGGAACAAATGGCAAAAATAGTAGGCTCTGTGGTGACATATACAGAGTGTAATCAAATTAGCATCAAATAGAGCCACAGACAAAAGCTCAAAAGTCAAATGTCAGACGACGCGTGACAGGACATGAGCCCGTAAGAGTTATTTCGCGCAGTGTGCCACCTACCTAATTAAGACAGGTGGGAAAGCATCTGCCGCGGCTGGACGCAGTTATATTGTTTTATTTCTTATACTGTACATTAGGGATAGATGATATATGTCTTATATATTAGTTTTAACTCCTTTAGTAGAGGTTTAATGTGTCGTACATAACAAATAAATACAACGTTTTTAAAAACAACTTGTTTTTATTAAAGAATATTGTATTTTTATATAAATATTATTTATTTACTTGTCTCACGTGTTCATAGTTGCATAATGTACTCCTTGCTGAGGTTCAGGCGTAACAGAAGACTAGGGTCTTGCGCGTAATGCTCGTTAAAATCTTTTGTAGGTTAACAATTCTCAAAAAGAATGCAAGCGCCAGTTGTATCGAGCAAATCCCACAGTCCTATTCCGAAACACGAATATCTTCTACCTGAGTAGAACCCTACTGGGGTTCAACCCCGAGAGCATATTGTGCCCAAAAAAAGGGAAGGGTCGCTTTTACAAAAGAACGCGTAACTTCAGGTACGGCGACGTTCAACTCCACTGTGTAGGGTTTTGGAAAAGTTTTGTTACTATTTTCGATTTTGGGTTTGATATTAGTGCTTGGAAACTTGGCATTTTTGTATTTATTTCTTAGTCTACTCTGTCTGATATTGTTTCTTTATTACATGTTTTTGAAAACAATTAACAATGAATAGATTTATTTAATGATTTGTCTTTTTTGAGTACGATAATTAACGTATCAATTATGATGTATTACAGGGCTCGGGCGGCGGGTGCGGCGCCAAGCGGCGTGCCGGCTCCCCGTGCGAGGGCGGCGGCAAAGTAGCGCGGTGGGAAGATTCTATCGCTCGTCTGGAGGCTGTGGCCGCCGGGGCGGGCGGCGGTGAGTGCTGGCGAGGCGAAGAGGAGGAACGGCGAGCTTGCCGCCGGCGGTGGTGCGGCGGCTGGTGCGGAGCGCACGATACCATCCGCGCGGAGAACGGCAAGTCCTACCTGGAACTGGGCGGTGCCGCCGCGCGCGCCTGCTGCGACGGCCGCGCTGCCGGTCGCTGCGCCTCGAGACGCTGTTATCGCGAGAGACGACTCAAGATGATGAACTTGTGCGCGCTCAAGTTGGCGCGATTCCGCCAAACGGCGGACCCTTCCCTAAGACGGTCGGTGCTCGTGTGCAACACGCTACGAGGCATCGAAAGAGAGATGGAGAGAGAGAGCGTGGAAGAAGCGCCCTTCGAACCCGCGTGCGTCGCGAGCGGCGTGACGCGGTGCGAACTGCTAAACTCGCGGGACCCCGCTGCGGGCCGCGCGACACCTTTCCCTGCACCAGCGCAGCCAGACCGGGACTCCGGCTACGGCGACGAGGAGCGGAGCATCGACTGGGGCTCAGTGTTGAGCCTCTCCTCCCGATCGGCGCTAGACCCCCCCGAAGAGACGTGGCCCGACGACTGGGGCTGGAACGAGGACAGCTTCGTGCGGCTGCTGGTGCCGACGAGTTAGTGCAGTGCGCGCGGGCAGGACGCGCCCGCGCCCCCCTGAGCGCCTGTGATACGGCCGCGCCACCCCCTCCCGCGCGCGCCAGCTGAGCCGGGCCCGCGCGAGCGCTCAGCCCCGCTCTGAGCCGCCCGCGCGCCACATCTAGTCGCCGGAAAACGCAGTCAGTAGTTAGTATTATGTAATTCACTATGGGAAGGTGCTAGCTTCGGACGAGCGAGGGACTTTAACGCGAGCCGAGTTATTTTTGATAGGTTTATTTCTTTAAGTGAATTCAAAACTGCAACTGGAAGTGACTTAGCCGAAGACGTTATTATGGTTTAGATTGAAACTCGTGTTGGAATTTTTTGTTGAAATTATTGTGTACGATTAGGTAAATGCTATATATTTATTGTGTTAAAAGAGAGGGTACGATTATTTGGAATTATTTCTGTCTTGATATTTTCTGTAACGTGTCGACCGGCGTGTCTGGGTTGTCTTGAGATTAGCCCGTCCGGTGAAGTACGCTCCCGTGCAATAGCTCACTCGCCCGACAGATTTTATGCAAAAATTATTGTTACTCTTTCCTCATTGTTATAAAGGAGGTCGTACTTCGCTCGGATGGAGTTGGAAGTAGCAGTCAGAAATAAGTGCATGGACATGTGCCGACCCTCGGTGAGAGGTCACAGCTCAAGAGTCAATATGAACAAAACAGAACAAACTGTAAGGCTGTAGTCTCCTATAAACGTCATGAGCCGCGAATTGCACGTTATTATTAATGTACTGTTGTTGTCTCTTTCACACGCTGATGTTGGTGTGTGGTGAAACCTAAAAACGACGTAACGTTTATAGAGGACTACAACCGAATTTATTAATTGATAAGTACTTAAGAAATCGATGGACTTTCATTATTTCCGCATCCGATATTTATTTGGGCCACAGCGGCTATCTGCCTGGTCGTCAATTATACAGCCTTAACTAAATGTAATGAAAGTATCACGATTTGACTACTGGAATTTGTAATGTATAAAACACTGTCATGGTTGTACTTAAATCACCAGGAATTGTCATCCCCTCCTCTGATAAAGTCCCCGAGACCACGAAACTCAAATCGCATTACAATTAAGTGCTTTAGTATAATTTAAACTGGATATTGACGATATTTTTCCACAATTAATTGAATACAGTGACATACAGTTCCTATACTTAAACGACTATTAGTGAAATATTTACTTTTCGTTTCGCGATTTGAGTTCGTCAGGTCTCGGGCCGTGGAGAATTTATCAGAACGAGCGATGTAATATACGGATTTGCATTTTGGGACACCGAATGATAACCTTACAGTAATAGTGAAGCCTTAGGCCGTTGTTACTATGTGGAGAAGCGCCATAGACATGGAAAGAGGCCCAAGTCTAAAATAATCAATGCCATGGTAATAGACTTATGTTAAACCAGTATCAAGTCATTCTCGCGCCATGCTATTGTTAATAAGAGATTTGGGATCCCTGGTCTGGCTCTCATTTGTGACATCGGACTAGGAGCTAGCGTGAAATGGGAAATTATGTGTGCCATCGGAATCAACGGCCGGATTATCACAAACGAAGTTTAGTTCGGTCAATATTGAAAAATTATTTTTGTATAATAGGTTAACACCGACCTTTCTTCCGGTGGCACGCGAGGCCCCGCCACTTACGGAATTGCGACTACATGGACCAAACATACATAGCACGACGTTAATAGAACAAAGTACAAATTCAATAAAGTAAGATGCATTAGTGCGCCGGCGCATGTTTGTCCACCGTTGTCAATTATAATATTTGAATTGTGATTCGGTAGCTAATGAGAGAAAACTATCTTAAATTTAGTGTACATATAAAATTATGGAGATGGGCATTATGGCGCGGTGATACGCGTTTGTAAATAAATTATGTAAATTAATAATTTTATCGATATATCGTTCAGCTGACTTTCAGTGCCTGGTTTTTATCTCTGTTCTGTCCGATTGCAGATTTCGTAGGATGTCACAAAATATTGCCAGTCTCATATTGTCTAGTTAGGTTTAAATTCATGGGTTTTAAACTCGTAAGTGATGCATTCGATTCATTTGTCTCTTTCGATTGACCTGATTTCGTTTATACCTTAGAATTTTTTTAATATGTCCGTATGATTGGTTGTGATGGTTTACTTAAGTAAGTTAGTGAATTATGAATTACTCTAACACCTATTTGTACTGACCGCTTGTTGCTGTCGCACCATTGTTGAACTGATTATACAAGTAAGTACTTAAAATACGTAATTCGATAATTGATCGCGCGTAATCGATAATTCTGCGTCGGCAACAGCCCACCCGTTCAAAATGCTTGCAAATTGTACAAATTTTCAATATTTCATTAACTGTCCTGTCATTAATAGTGTACAGAGTGTAAAATATGCATCGAAATTTTATAAGAACCTAATAATTGTAAATGCACGTTTCATTTATAATGTAAATCACGTGAGAATAGCGAATCGACCAAATAATAGTTGAGCTGCAGTCGGGATGGTTTTTACAGGCCATCGAGGCGTCTATCAGTACATTGTGTTGTGAGGTACAGCAATAATAGCGCGAGCTGACTGTTGACACGTCCGTCTTCTAGTCGGGGAGATTTCCAAGAAACGATCCGACGAAATCATACGTAACTTTGTAAAAATCCTTAATATACCTTGTCGCGCCCGGGGCACCGGCCACAGCCACGACACCAGCAAATTTCCTCAATCCAAGAGCTGACGCTGCTCGTCACCGCACCCAAAACTTCGCGCCGTGGCTGCGCCCGTTGACCCGAGTGCCAAGACTCTAAGTGTAATTTTTCTTAGTGTTTTTCCATTGCCATTGGTTACCAAAAAATGACAGGATTTATATTAAAACGTTTGTGTATAATACTAGAAAAATACTCGTTGGGGAATAGCGAAATCAATTCTGGACGCACTCACGCCGCACATCGAATTGTTACCGGGTCTATCTGTATCGGGTATGACCGGGTCGTCCGAAATTGTTTCCCTACGTCCTGATGTGAGAAATATAATTGTAATATAATGTTTAAGCTGTTGTGTCGGAAATAACAAGAACAGGAATAATTTTGTGAAACAATGGCACAAACAATGATAAATATTATATATATTATAGAAGCAGAAATGTGACTATAAGAGCAATTTTTATAATAAATATTTACTGTTGATGAATCACAGCCTTTTATTACACAAGCCCTTAACTAACCCACACTGGACATTCACTCGTATCCAAAGCCAAATAGGCCGACAGCGCATCTTGTTTAGATTTTATTTAACCGGAGTATTTCACCTACCATCAAGTGAGCTCCATGGTTGTCTTTCCTGCTCTATTTTAAAAAAGAGGCATATAGGATTCCCACAGCTGGGACACGATCATCCTAAGGCTCCTAATGTACCACCTTAGCTAAACGGATGATGGCAGATGACGCATCTTAACTTGTACCTCTACAATATCTTTATGATATTTTCAACGAACATCACGGATCAGTTGTATGATGGGTTAGAATTGATGATCAGAAATCAAATCCATACCTACTAGATTAAACTATAATAAGTCATATGCATACTTAGAACTGGGAATACAAAGAAATACACACAATGTAACACAGGTTGACGGAACGTTATACAAGACATTTTTATATGCAGCTGTCAATTTTATAAACAATGTCATTATTGTCCATTGAAATTGGGCCTTAACATAAACTTAACTAAATATCGCATAAACAACGTAGGATTAATAAAAAAAATATTTCGACATAGTAAATAGGCTTTTAAAAGTAATTGAAAAAAGAGATTAAAAAATACATATATTTATCTATTTCGCTTCTACATCACTTGGTTGAATCCCATGCAGAGTCCGTTTGTGCTTCCACATATCGCCAGAACGTCTGAAAACAAGGTTTGGCCTAAATTATCTACGTAAATAATTAAAATATAATACAACAGACTATATGATGTTATGACAGAGACAGGCTATACTATATCGGCTAAGCATAACACATATAACAAGGATATTAAAAATGTTTATGATACAAGTAGGTGAACTCATGCGCATGTAAGGATGATAATGTTAATAACAAAATAAGGAGTGATATATTTACTTTTAAATCAAAATAAGACGCAGTGAAAATCTTAAAACGCTCGAGCGGTTTCGAAGCGAAAAATCCATGTGCAGAGTGCAGTGCGGATATCTGCTAATAGTATTTGTACCTGAAAGCCGTCCCGCAGACATCGCATTCGTGGGGCTTCTGTCCCGTATGGATGAGAGTATGCACAGTGCGCGCGTAAGGTCTCCGGAATGCGGCCCCGCATATATCACAAATGTACGGTCTGCAACATCATTTCATATATTTATCATTAGATAGTTTAGACAATGATCCAGGTCAAGATGACTGAAGGATGCTAACCTGAAGTGGGACAAAATCTTGGCAAAAATGCCATTTACCTCTACGAGACACATTATTATGTCCGTTTCGCCAATTTAAAGTAAATTCATTGCCTGACTCAGTGCTTAGGAGAAGTTTTCTTTATATTTTCTATATATTTAAATGTTGAATTATAACAATTTATTTTCCTTAACACGCTTTCTTACTTACTAAAACTGGTTTTTAATGGTAACAACTAACATCGGTTCGCTTACTTGAGGAAAAATAAATTCGTCAAGGAAGACACAAAGCTAAGTAAAAAGGAAATTATTAAATAAAAACTATCTACCATTGTATTAATTTATTGCATAAATATTATTTTATAAAGCTGAAGGCACTTTAAGAGAAATGAAACTTTTAAACTTGTAATTAATTTGCCGCGTTTCTCATTTCACGAACGAATATTCTAAACAGTACTAGTAGTGTCATCTATGTGAATTAACTTTAACTAAACGTGGAATGTTATGTAAGATTTGGCGCTAATATTTTAATAGGTCAGTTTTAATTTTTGACGTATTGTATCACAAATATTTAAATTCTAAAAATTTCATTAATTTATTAGTTATATTTACTTTTAAATTTATATCGTGATTTTCAAAGATATTTGTTTAAACAACGTATTATGAAAGAAATTAGCAACAGGGAAAGAATTCGAGATTGTAAATCGATTCTATTTAAGCATGAAGTCGGAAAATAGCCCTATTAAAAATAGTATTCTCTACATATATCATTATCATTATCTATTTGTTTTTACCTCAAATCGAATCGACAAATTTTGATATAATTACTTTTATAATTGAAAAAGAATGTGCTTATAAAACTAAATATATAAATGCAAATAGTTTAAATTTCTTGAAATTGCAACATTGATTAAAAAGAGCAATAGTTTCATGTATATAAAAAAGAAGAGGCTCTGGACTTTAAATCTCAATGAAAAAGGACATCGTATTGATGGGGCTGGGCACAGAAGGCTGATCAACTACTTGCTTGTAAAAGAAGTCAGTGAAACGGACACAGAAATGTGTTCGCCGCATGCCCTAACGTCATAAACGGTTGAACTGCCTGTCGACATAAATCAATGTCACAATTTCGCGGTAAAGTGGTGCTTCATACGCGTAATGCGTTAACCTCTGGTCAGTATGAATCCTCGCGTGCTCGCGCAACCGTGCCGCGGCCGTGAAGGTCTTGGGGCAGGCGGAACACGCGAAGGGTCTCTCGCCGGTGTGGGTCCGACGATGGTCGTCTCGCTCCACCTGCAACCCTTCCATATATACTCTCTTTTTATACTAATCACTGGTAATACAAAAACGTGAGACTCTTACACCGACCGGCGATACCTAAGACCAATTTTTTAATCAATTGTATGGCGAACAAATCATTATTAGCTTTTAATAATATATGTTTCTTAGTTTAAAGCCCAACGGAGAAACTAAACACTTATACAATGATACAAACAAAGAACTAAGTAGTCCATAATATCACTTTACTCCTTTCTAGGTATGACAAAACATAAAATTTATTGTAAGAGGGCAAAGACATCACACATTAAAAAACATACATTAAAAGTCATTAAATTATGTAACAATTGATGTATTGTTATCTATAACATTTAATATCTTTTTTCGTTAGTTCTTAAGAACGCTACTCCAATGTAGATGGACGGGTTGTAACGACTACCGCCACGAAATAAGTGATAACTAAGGCCAACGCCTTAACTTACGAAATTAAGTTGGTAAAGTCTCCTAGATCGTGAATCTTGACTGGTAGGAGAAATTATCGTGGCAATATTTAAAATATTTAAATACATGAACCACGGGTCGTCGAAAGTCGGTCTTTTGGTGTAGGTACAGTCGTTACAACGCATTAAAAAAACTAGTAGTTAAATACATTTTGTATGTTATATAGTTAAAAGATAAAGATGGCACCCGTTCTACCTTCACTTTAAATGCCTTGGAACAGAGATCGCATGGGTACGGTCTTTCTCCTGTATGCATCCTCATGTGAATGGCGAGGTGTCCTGACTGATTGAAACGGCGATTGCAAATACGACATGGGTAGCCCTGGAAACCTTAATTAATTACGATACATACTGAATCTTTCCCTTAGCGTGAGTTAAAATTTTTATTGTTGTAGAAGATGTAACTCAGAGTTAATAAGTATACGAAAAGGAATAGATAATTTTAATAAATGTTTTAAAAATCCGTTTATATCGTGTTTAGAACTTAAAAGATGGGAGGAAAGTAAGTACAGAGTAGTCTTTACAGTCGAAATCTTATATTAATACATAATTGTTATTATTGAAAAAAATCATTCAATCTATTATAATCGTTTTATGTGAATCTTAAATCAAAAAGATGTAAGGACCAAAACCTGTGCAGAAAATATATACTTACAGGCTTAGAGACTTTGTGCATTTTCTTATGAGTGTGCAAAGCGCACATACTTCCCAAAACTTTGTTGCATTCTTCACAGACGTACGCCATCAGTGGTGTACCCGGTGGTCGGTCTTCACCACGTTTGTGGCGATAAAGTTCCCTAAAATCCAGAGTACCAAAACGTAAGTAAGTCCATATATTTTGTCTACATACTTATGGTTACTTTGTCTCCATCATCAAATGAATAATAAAAAAAAAGTAATGAAAAAAAATTGTATCTTTCTTCTTTTCTAAAAGAAAAAGCGCCTTTGCTTCGTTTTATTTTTCATTCCAAAAGCGAAAAATACAAAATTTTCAATTAAACGTAAAATTATTATACCTGCGGAACAATGGTTGTTCGATTTTTTTCAATTTAAAATTTTGGACAACTGACGAACGTCTTTAAAAACGATATATTTAAATAAAGAAATTGTCATGTAAAATGTAGACAATAATAACTATAGTTTAGTGAAGTTATTAATTCTCATATTCTGTGGATTTCATGTCTAATAGTATGAACTTACCTAGCAGTAACAAATAATTGGTTACAAGATCCACAATTCCACATCTTGTTATTACTGCTTGGCTTATACGATCTGCGCGTACGATTCTTGCGATGTGTTTCCCCGTGTGTTTTCAAATCAAGCTCCGTTGGAAAGTGATTTCCACAAATCGTGCATTGTAACTCATAATTTTCCGAGTTCGGAAGACCAGGTGCCTGCATCAGTGAAATGTTTTAAGAGGGCGATAGATTTATTTCCATTGAACAGTGAGGAACTTTACTTGGTTAGTTTCTGGGCTTAAAAATACTAGCAACCGATAAAAGCTATTTTTTATCTGGGATACTTTGAGATTCCTTAATGGAAATCTCTATTTGCTACAAACATTGTTTATTTATTTAAAAAGGCTTACCAACTACATCCATAATTAAACTTTCATATTTTATTTCTAATAATAATTCTTAGCACGTAAATATGCAACTTAAAGGTATGCACACGTTTAACTAAATATATTAAATACAGATAAAAATAAACATCATAAAGTAAAAAATAACTAGAGATAGTACCTTAAATACTGTCTATAGTTTACGCGAGTAGTACACATTTAAATAAAACACTTTAACGGTTTAAAACGCGATATATTAGTTAAGCTTATTTGAAAATGATTTTTAACTTCGGCCTTTGCAGCAGCCGTGGTCACGGGGAGGCACCACCGAAGTTAAAAATCATTTTCAAATAAGTTTAACTAATATATCGCGTTTTAAACCGTTAAAGTGTTTTATTTAAAAGAAATAGTACCTACTATATAGTATAAAATATTACTTACGAATTAAAAAAATACTAAATTTATGAATGGTACAATTCCAAAACATTTTCTCTAATACGTTTGAGTTGTTAAATACGTAATAAAATATTTCCATCTTACAAACTCATCAGGCTGTACATTTTCCTTTTGGGAAAAGCACGTGAGCTTATGACGGTCGAGGGCAGGTCCGTCGGCGAATAAATAGTTGCAAACTTCGCAAACAAACATCGTACTGAGCTTTCGTGAACCGACACATCCTTTACCGTTTGTATCGATGCAGCATAATTGTTCTAAAAACGTATAAATCATTTAAGGATGAAAATACCAAAAGAATATTTTCTTTTATTCAAGCAAAAAATATTATCTGTTTAATACATTTTGAGTCAAATATCTGTAAGAGTTACTTTTAGCTCTGCTAGGGCATAAAGTTTGAGACAGATAATAAAAACTTACCACTAGGTTCCACTTCTAAAGTCATGGAGAGAACTCGCTCGCAAATGCAACAGACTAGCCATTCTGCGTCAAAATTTGCACTCGATGATGAAGCACCTTTAAAATATAACGCATGTTATATAGTATAAATAATAATTTAAACTCTTCTCTACGTTAAATTAATTTAATTTCAATTATTTGTTATCTGTGACACTGTGGCTAATAAATAAATTGTAGGTTATAAGTTTTCCCGCCTTAAATAGCTCCGGGTATATTTGTGGTACTATTGAATCTTACAAATATTGGGAAAATATCTTTTTATTATATTAAAATGAATAGTTAAAAATCATGTGGCAATGTACCTTCAGTTTCAGTATTTACAAATTCAGGTACATTATTGTCAGGGTCCGATAAATTCACCGACGCATGCATTAAAATAGTGTGATCTAGTAAATCTGCATCAGTAGTAAAAATGTCATGGCAAATAACACAGGAAAATAGTGCCAAAATATCAGGACCATTCAATTTGGAATCCTAAAAACATGTAATACGTTATGTTTCTACTAGAGATTACGTTTGGTCTGTTATCTACTCCGTTCAAGTACTTTTTCAAATTTATATTATATGTTATAGGAACAAAGTATCTGTATTTATAAAGTATATTCTTATAATGTAAATAAAGTTATGGCAATGAGCAAACATTTTAAAAATTAACCTTTTCGGTATTTGGAGAATTGTTGATTTGGGCGGGCAATAAAAATTGATCAACTGTATTATCGTCCAGTAAAGTAGTTTCATCGTAGAATGAATCTTCAACTTGCACAAAGTTTAAGGCGGTATTCACATCTTGGTAATAGTGGCTTTTATTTAAGTCAGTCTCATTACCAATAGTAAAAAAATGACCTGACTCAGTCGAATTTAGAAGTAAATTATTCTTTACAGGTGAAATTGTATTTTCATTTAACAAAGTATATTTTTCTGTGTTACTGGAACTTGGTTCTTGACTAAATAAGAGAGTATCATTATCAAATCGATCGTCCAAACACAAAGTTTCGCTAAATTCTCTGTATGAGAAATCGGAGGAATCGTACATCATTTTTATCTGAAAATTAAACAAAAACGTCTTCAAAGTGTACTTAATTACCTAAAGGATAACAAAATTCTAGTGGCTGTGTTAGTGGTATAAAATATGAGTTTATTATTTGTTTATTGTAAAACTACTCATTGACATTAGCTATAGGCAAAATTATGTTGGTTTAGTCTGTGATAATCTGAACCCGTTTTGACGTTTATGACAGTGACAATGACATATTATGCTTTGTGTTTGCGGTGTTTTATATTTGTTATGAAATTACCTGTGTGCATTTGTAGTTTTGTATAAAAAGTGCACTAGGAATTTGTAAAAATGAAAGTCGATGTAGCAACCCCGGGTGATAAATCTAAAATTCCTTTACCAACTCTTTCTCAGATAAATGCTGATAGAATTACACTGGTAAGTTATGAATGTGAGGTTATATATCGCAATGATATTTCGTATATTTAAGGGATGACTCTGTAAATAAATGTACCTGTACTTTACATTTTAAACTAGTGTTTTGCATTTAAACATTCAAAGTTTATTTTTCAATAAAAAAAAATAGGTCTCATGTACAATATTTTATCAAAACATTTAGTTACACTTTTTCACACTTAAATTTTATTGTATCTTCAAACTATTTACGTATATATATATATATATATATAAATATATATATATATATATATATATCATAATCAGTACAGTATCTAAACTACATAATAAAGTTTCTTACTTAAATTAATACTAATAATATTTGTCCTAAACGTTTTAAGGAAATGACTGACACTACAATCAGTATTTTTTCACCACATCTATGGTAATTAAAATAGCATAAGATACTAAGAAATTGATTCTCAAAACTCTGAATTCAAAAACATAGTATAAGCTGTTAGCCATTTTAATCCCGTACCAAATACAAACAGTATTTATTTGTAACAGTAGACTAGAATGTGTTATCTTTGCATTATTGTAAAATTACTGTATGTTTTTTTATGAGCATAATACAAGTAAATATTGAGATTGTTTTTTTTTTAAGTTTAGTGTAATAAAGTTTTTGTTACTACTAAGAGCATGTTATCTAGCGTCACATTTAAATCATTATGCACTGTTTCATGATAATATAGCTCTTTATAGTTGTAAAAGCCAACTGGTATTAGCACCAAAAAATCCATTTAAATCTATGATACTAACCTTATTGAATTATTAAATCACTGTGGTTGATACTGCAGCTTGCAAACCAGTATTGGTCACCGCAAACCAAGGAAAGCCATCTCCCATATGATGCTGCAATTGTGGAGTCAATTTATCAAGCAGAAATCCTTGGTTCCAAGTAAGTTCTGTAGGAGTAATAATATCTCACTTATTTATGTCAATACAAATTTCTATTGTTTTTATGTCTTAGCCCTATTGAAGTAGACAAATGAATGGGGTCAATGACCTAATGGATTTAGTTCATTGACCTGTACATTTTTAAAATTTATGGAATCTAAATGTGATCATTCTGTTACACAAAACTACCGTTTAACTTATTATTAATTATTAAAATTATTGCGTTTCATAATACATTATTTTTAATTCATAATATAACCATGTAAAGGAATATTTGAGTTAATTTAAAAATAAAGGTTAACTATTCATCTTTTGTGCAGTCTGTATTGCTAATATATTTTGGAGGGAAAATTCATAAGTGATTTTATGAATGTTTTTTGACATCCAGTTATTGCGAAGGTTGAACTTTGTATTGTTGTTTATTTTCTGGCTCGACTCCGGTCTGTATTAACTCATTTTTACTGTAATTTTTGAAATTTGCGACTAATTTAAATAATTTTTTTTTCAGCTTCTCCGTTCGTCGTATTATGATGTTAGAATTTTCTCAATACCTAGAAAACTATCTATGGCCTCATTACGAAACAGGAAAAGCGTCCCATTCGCACATGATGTCCATCATTATAATGATCAATGAAAAGTTTAGGGAAAGAGTACCAGCTTGGCAGGTAAGTCAAATTTTGTAAATTAAACTAAATGTCAGGATAACGTGAATTCATTTAGCAAATTATTAAAATATATACGTATATAACTCGCAATATAGACAACATTCAACTATGACCTGAAGTATACAGATGCTTTTTAAGTAACTTACATATCTTCATAAAACTTTTTTGTCTTTTCTTCTTCCTCTTATAATTTTTAAAACACTTAAAGTTACCTAATATTATGTTTAAATTTCATGTTAATTTTCGCAGGCTTTACTAAAAAAACCAGAGCACTTCCCAGGCTTCTTTGAACAGGTGTTACATGCTAGTGTTGCTGAAGATCACTTAAGCAACAATATGAGGGAGCAGACCAACCTTCTCCTGTTTTTAAACCACTGCTTCGGTAGTATGGAAGTGCAGCTGTGTAGAGATCAGGTTAAACGCCTCGTCTCACTTAGTATGTGGATAAGTTTACAAGAAGGTACTACTATTCCAATTACATGTCTATATTATTATCTAAGGTCAAGATTATGAGACAAAAATGTATATTTTTGAAAGGTATTGTAGTGTTGATAATTGTAAAAAATAGATGGTAAAAATGTGATACAAATTACTTTTAGATTCGAAGTTAAGATTAACACAGATTTGGCATAGAAATATTTTTAATACTTCTTTTCGGTTATGCAAATCATGTTTATTAATAAATAGTTAATTAATTATATTTAATTTTCTTAGGCAGACGAAATCAAGAGTTCAAAAGTGTACCAAAATGGCGTAAATATTGGCGAGCCATTCAAAAGAAGGATAAACCTGAACTACTGGATAAGTTGAATTGGGAAAGAAGATATCTTCAAAAGCTTATGATAAAATTCATGAGAATTCTGGAAAGCATTCCTGAAGATGACGACGTGAATCCTGATAAAGTCAGGTCAGAATTAGTTATGTTAAATACTTGACGCATAGTGAATGCACCAAGTATTTAGCATATATTTTTCTAATATGTGATATATATAATTAGATATCATAAAATATGTTTTTGTCTGTGCTTAGGCAAGATAAGACTTGGGTGTTACGTGTCAAGGGTTTCTTACTGAAGAGAGGTTGTCAAAGAAATAGTAATATTACTACTTCAAAAAAAAAAAAATTTACCTGATTATAACGCGAAATATATTAGTCAAAATGATCTACAATTAATTTTAACCACTGACCATGTCTGCAGCAAAGCATTCAAAACGCCGGGCCCTACTTAAAATAAAATGTAAATAAGTTTAACTAATACATTTCATGGTTTAAATGTGTACTACTCACGTAAACTACAGATAGTACAGGATTTAATACTCCTATTTAATTTTAGATATTGTGAGCGGTTTCTGGAGTTAATGATTGACTTGGAGGCACTGTTACCAACCCGTCGCTTCTTCAACACAGTGATGGATGACTGTCATCTTGTCGTGCGGTGTCAGCTATCCAACCTTGCAAGGAGACAGGAGGGACAACTATTCTCACAGGTATGTTTAGCATAGTTCTTAAATATCTTATGTATGAGAATAGATATATATTATGTTTATTTCAGAATAAAACCAAGACCTCATGTGTTTAATTAGGTCGGATCAGGTGGATTAATAAAATTAACATTAGTTTAAATGGTTTATTGAATTCTCATATACAATTTAAATATTATATAAACTGCATGATTTATATTTGCATATATTGTACGAAATTAGTATAAGGAGTATGACAATTTATTTGTAAAAGTTGTAGAGAGCATAAAAGTGTGATCATGGGACGGAGTTGATTTTGAAATCTCAAGAGTTAAAAATCACAACATAATTCAAATATTCTAGTTTTGTGCATGTCTTATCCTAAAAAGAGATTCTACATGAAATCCTAGTAGTGTGCTTCTTTGTTCAACAATGTTAGTGTAATTAAACAATTAATTAAGTATCCCCAATGAGCACTGCATAAATCACAATTTTATTTTATCATAAATGCGATATGTCAAATTAGTCTTATATTTCGTAATTATAGTCAGCAAGTTAAACACTAATCTATCAGAAGGCATCCACTTATAGATATTATTTAATAACTTATATTCTATGACATGAACCAGCTGCCAATATTATTGCCTCTATAATACTGTCATAAGGCACACATTTCAATACAATAGGCGAGAAAGCGAAATTAATAACTACTTTTATAAATTCTTTGTGAGTTTACAACTAATTCTATAAATTCTTTGCGTGAGAATCATCATACTACTAAATTCCACATGATTCATTTTCTAATATAGTTTTACATGATAAAAGCATTACATACCATTTAAAAAAATAATTTGTACTATCTAAAAGCTGCTTTAAGTCTAAAGTGAAGAACTTTGTGCAAATAAAGTACAGGCATTCTAACGTTAAAGAAGATTGGATATTTAAGACTTCTCGTTACTGTGTTGTCTTTACCTTCAAAATTTTATAGACATTTGTGTCAAAGGACCACCTTAATTGTAGCAAAACTGACTTCTATAAAGGCGGTTTAATTCTTAAATCAGTTAATAATTACCCCCATTCATATGTGTCATTTCGTCGCCCCATTCCCCAGTAGGCACTGGTTGCGCATAACAACAGCTTTTACGCAGTAGAAACGTAACGTGAGACTGTCGTACTACACAGGTGTAGAATATTAGTATCGCTTGCAATAAGTTAACGACAATATATGCATATAGCAGCCCATCGAAATTCAACCACGATAACAGTAGGAATAACCATGATAGAGTCATTATTAAGAAGAGTTGCAGGAATAGGTCGAAGCTGTAACAATAACAAGTGAGTTAATAAAGCGTTATCTCTTTTTTACAATCCTCTACAAAGAACAAGGATGTCAAATATTCTTCGTTATTTTGGTCAATATAACAATAACATCTAATAACGCAATTTACTTACCAGCCTTTTAATTTATAGTGGATCCTCCCATAGATATTAATTCTTTTGATTACTTTTAAAGTTGTAATATAGAAAAATATATTGAAAATAATTGTAAATGCAACTGGAGTGAAAAATATAGCAATGCCAAGCCAACCTGAAATTAAAAAATATTAGTGAAACAAGAGTAAAATAATACGAAAAAAAATGCCCAAGCCCCTTTGGGTTCAGAGACAAAACAGGATTTTAATACAATAGTTTACCTATAGTTTCCTGTTCCACATCATCTATCAGGATTGATGATGAAAACTGCGTTCTCATCTTTCTGTTAGGATTAGTCCCAGTGTCTAGTAAAAAGTGTGCGCAAATAGCCATAGCTGCCATTACTGCTACACTTGACCAAACAACACTGGAGTAATAACAGTACTTCCGGACATCTGTTACTCTGAGGAATACATTCCTTGATCTGAAAAAGCCAGAAATTGTATTAAAATATCAAGTGATAGTAAGGTATTATGAGACAAGCGTTATATATTTCTCATTACCACAGAATAAACTGAAAACTCATTTTATATTAATTATTATTATCTTATTAAAATTCGTAATAATACTACTTACTTAAATGTTTTCCATATATAAAACCCGAAACTATTTAACCAGAAGAAGGCACCCAGTAAACTTATGTATAAAATGATATCTGCAATTACAAAATAAAACTAATATATAAATTATGGTTATTAATATAATACTTATATTTTTAGAATATGAAGAACTGACCTGTTACCATAAAACTGACATGGTTACTTAACTCAGTAAATATTCTTACAAAATCAGCAGCTTGACTAACAATTAAACAGAGATTAATTGTTGTAATAATGTTGCCAGCTAAGTCCCTTAGAGTCGGTAGAACAAAATATATAATAGCAATTGTTAAATATAAAATCATGGCAATTGCATGAAATATCGGATTTATTATCTTTTTCATTAGGAAGCTTGTGTCTTTCCAGTTTCGTTTCACTTCTGGTACACATACGAGGGCATATTGTCCTGTGCTGTTTGTACTTGTAATTAGAATCTGTAAATTAATTCATTGTTAACAGGCTGTAAGAATTTATTTATATGTAGAAATGACAAACTACAGTCATTACTTTGTCTGTCCCCATTAGTCATATGCATAAAAAATAAGTTTTATACCATACACTTGTTACAGTTTCATATTAAAATACAAAATAAAAAAGCCTTCAAATGTGCTAACATTAGAATGCTACATAATTAAATTCTACTTTAAAGAGTACTTACCTTATCCATACAATATTTATTTTTGTCGTGTATATATGATTGTTCCTTCTCATCTGGCATAGAAATTACATCATGCAAACTAAATGTCATAAGTGGATCATTTTTTATTACATCTGCATTAATGTGGTGATGTATTAAATGTTTTAATCGTCCATCGGATAATAAGTTTAACCTGGAACAAGTAGTAGTAGTTTGTTGAATCTATACTATTTGTAAAATTTGAAATAAAAATAATATTGGCAAAAGACTTACTCATCTTCAGATTTTCCTAAGTCAAATATAGGTCTTAATTGAGTAGTTTCACAATTAGGCACGCCATGAATAAATCTAAAATACTTTAACTTAACATCTGTTCCATCTTCAGTCTTAAATTGTGGTACCCATAGGCCTGAAAAGATTAACAAACCAATTGTTATTTACTGCATTTAAATTATTATTTAAACAAATATATTCCTCATATTTTAGAGAAATTATATATTATAAGGACTAATTAGATTATGAGATTTATAGGAAGTTAATTTGTATGTCTATAAGGCATCTTTTTAATACAAGATCAAGTATACAAAAATACAACAGATTAACAAACTTTAAAGTCTAATGTTTAATTTTGTAACTCTAGTTTAAACACAGTTCTTAAAAACCTAATACAAAGATCTTTTATATGATGATTAATTTAAAAAGTTAGTAATCAAAACACTTCTTACTTTCATTATATCGTTCGGCTAACCGACAAACAGAGTCTACGGCTATTTCGTTTTCTTCACAACACTTGTTGATTTGCACGGAATTCTGTTGTTCCGACAAATCATTGAGATCCGTGTCGCTAACTTCAGCATTTGTATACAGCTGTGTTGATAATAAGACGGCGACAAACAATAAATACATCCTGTCTAAGCGACCCATTAGTATTCATTACAACAAGATATTTCTTCAAGTCTGGTTCAGAAGGCACTTAGGAATGAAGTAGTAGATATTCGAATGTATTTTTAGCTAACGCGTTCATGTTATCGAAGTAAAGTGAATTAAAAAACGCGTGTTCACTTAAACTTAATAATTCTTAAGAAAAACGTTACAAGTTGTATTGTTTAGCAGAGACCGGAGTAATGACAACTGAGATTTGAGAATGCGATGCTACGATAGATGACAGGTGTCAAATCTTTGACAAAAATTGACAATTCTGTTGAAGAAAATGTTGCCACTTAACGTGGCGGTTTATTTGAATTTACATTTATAAGTTAAAAATACGGTTCAAGTTATAATGAAGTTAAAATATTATTGTTAATTTTGAATGATTACAATCAATATATTATTATTTTTTGTTGTTGCAGCTGTTGCAAATGTTAAAATTCTACGCAAGGTTCGAAATTAGCGACGAGACTGGAGACCCTATGACTGATAAAGATATGACACTGCAACATTATTCAAGAATAACATCCCTTCAGGTAAGTTACAACAATTAATATATTATTAAAGTTTTGTTTTGTTAGTTTTATGATAAGCACACCCATAAATAGCCGTTTTGGCTAAAGAAAAAGAGGTTAAGAAAGTGCATTCATTTATGTTTTTACAGAAAGCTGCCTTCGCTAAGTTCCCTGATTTGAGATTGTTCGCCCTCGCGAATGTCGCAAGCGTTGACACGCGGGAGTCGTTACAAAAGCATTTCGGTAACTTGAGGTAATTAAACTTTTGTTCTTCCTCTTGATTACTTTAAATCTAAGATTCCCCTTTTGTGACTTATATTTTACGTGCACTTCTAAACTTTATAATGTCTTATTCTAGCGATACGGCATTACGGGCTATTGCTACATACCTGAATCTCATACCTCCTGAAGGACAAGAAAATGACGCTCCATGGCATAGATTGGATAAGCAATTTTTGAAGGAATTATTGGTAAGTGTCTATTACTGTCTGTAGTTTGCGCAAATAGTCCACGATTAAATTAAACACGTTTTATAGCTTAAAACGAGAAATTTTATAAACTAGTTCTGCAAGGACCCAAACACCTTCACGAAATACCAACCACGAAGAAACAGATGGCGCTAGCGTATCAGATTTTTGACTTTGATATTAGGGACACTTGATTTTCAGTTCTGTGACCACGGCTGCAAAACAAAGCATCCAAAACTTCGCGCCGTAGTTAAAAGTAAATTGTAAATATATTTATCTTAAACATTTCGCGTTTAAACCGTTAAAAGTGTTAATCTCTGTTAATATATGGATCATGGTCGTTACCACATCTTAATTGTTATATATTTTTTCAAACAGATTTCTCGTCATGAGCGTCGAATATCCCAGCTGGAAGAACTGAACTCCATGCCCCTGTACCCCACCGAAGACATAATTTGGGACGAGAACGTGGTGCCTACTGAGATCTATAGCGGCGAGAATTGCCTCGCTTTGCCAAAACTGAATCTTCAGTTTTTGACACTCCATGACTATCTATTGAGGAACTTCAATTTGTTTAGGCTGGAGAGTACATGTAAGTTTTTTAATCGCTCATTCGCTGTAATCGTTTATTTCAATCTTTTTTCCCACTGCTCGGCATCCCTTCCTACCAGTAACAGATACATTGGATCTACCAGATAATCTGATGATGTTTATGAGTGATTGATGTTTGTCTACTAATAAAATTTACAAATACCTACTTAAAAAAATATTATTTTCGCCTGATAGGGAAACGAACCTGGTTGTAGACCTTGTGACTCACATGTTACCACTAAACTACTGACGTTAATTGACTTATTTTTTCATAGATGAAATTCGACAAGACATAGAGGACGCTGTTTATCGTTTGGCGCCATGGTAAGTTCTTTTTATTTCCCATTAAAATCAACACTATAAAACCTTGTCATTTATACATATCTTCTGGTTTAGCAACCTTGCACAAATGTTTTTTGTCAAAGACATATTTGAGGTTATTATGAGGTTTTATTTTTTATTTATGTAATGTCCAGAAATAGGATTAAGTTAGTAGATCAGTGACCTGGATAGTATCATTTTTATCTACTAATACTTGTCTATCAGGCGAGCAGAAGACGGCAGCGTATATTTCGGTGGTTGGGCCCGTATGGCGCATCCGATACAGAGTTTCGCCGTCGTGGAAGTGGCTAAGCCGAATATCGGTGAGAAAGCGCCATCTAGGGTTCGCGCCGACGTCACAGTTACGCTAAGTGTGCGAAGGGAGATCAAACACGAGTGGGAGAATCTGAGAAAGCATGACGTTTGCTTCCTCGTTACTGTCAGACCAACACAGGGTATAGGTGAGTAGTGTTCATGCAATATCGTGCTATAGAACATTATAAAATGGCATACATCCTGTTGTATTACTTTCTCTCTCTAACTACCGCTGTCTCTCTTTTTAATTTTGTTGTCTGTGTAACATTTAGTGCCTAGTCTCTATCTAGTGTAGTTTTTGTAAAAAACAATAAGTTTAAGTAAATAAAATGTAACTTTTACATGAGCCGCTAACAACGTAGTTTTGTATCATATTTTAGGTACAAAATACGACTACAAAAAGAGTATGGTGGACCAGGCGGGCATTGTTTACGTTCGCGGTTGCGAAGTCGAGGGTATGCTGGATGCGTCAGGTCGTGTGATAGAAGAGGGCCCGGAACCGAGACCGGAATTAGATGGAGACTCCAGGACATTCCGACTTCTATTGGACCCTAATCAGTACAGAGTTGATCTTGATCACGCTAGTAAGGGACAGGAGGTGAGATAAAAGCCCGTTTTCAAGTTTTCGCGACTATTATTAAATAAAACAAATTTTGACAGGTCGAAATGCGAACCCCGATGTGTATAATATTTTATTTTGTATATGTTTCGTCATTCTCCACAAAAATATATACGTTCGCGATAGATGTGTTTAAATATATTTACAAACCACAATCGAACTCCCAACCGGACTTATTGTGTGTACTACTAAATAGACAATAAGTACGGTCTTTTATTTTTCAAATTCTATGTATATTTAGTCGTAATACAGAGGGTAATCTGATATATATTTTGTATTCTAGGATGTCTACGAAACATTCAACATAGTGATGCGCAGAAAACCAAAAGAGAACAATTTCAAAGCTGTTCTAGAGACGATTCGGGAGCTCATGAATACTGAGTGCGTGGTGCCAGAATGGCTTCACGATATTGTACTGGGTTATGGCGATCCGGGACAAGCACATTATACAAGGTAATGGAGCATATATGAGTGAAGGGGCTGATAATAATAATAATGAAATTGCCATTAAGTGATCAACTGATGATAGTAAAGATAACAGTTAGGTAGTTACCTACTGTTATCTAGTAGAATTTAACAGAAAAAACTGTCTTCTACGAATAAAATATATTTAGTAGTATTACTTTCTATTGGGGACTCTAATAGAAGGTCATCAATCAGTCCACATTATCTAACTTTTGTCCCCCATTTCCCCCTCCCTTTGCGGAGGACATTGGGTTATCCAACTGTCACTGTGGCCCTTTCAAACCTGCTTGTTTCTTTTCAAAATCTTATTATTTACTCCGTCTTTAATTAGACCTTAGTCATCAGTTATTTTCGTGACATTTTTTTTTATATTCCTGTTCAAAATATTTAAAAGTATACTTATTTTGTTAAATCCAAAATAAGATGAGTCTTGACCTCAAAAAAGAAGTCTTTAAATGTACTTTTGATCCAGAATGCCCAATGAAATACCCACCCTGGATTTCAATGATACATTTCTGGATATGGAACATTTGAGGAACAGCTTCCCTGGTTATGAGATTAAGCTGAAAACGGACAATCCGCAGAAGTTGGTGCGGCCTTTCAAGTGAGTTATTTAATAATTATTATCAAATTTAGTTATAACAGAAATTATTATAGTAATACTCTATTACTATAATACGTTCCTGAGCTAAGAAATTATCACATCTATAAAATTTCTAAAGTCTTTTTAATTTCCTTTATTAATGAAGTTAATTTTTCAATGTTCTCTAAATAAAACGAAAATATGGATGTCCCTTGTTGCTGCAAATCATCCAAACCATCGGACAGTAGTTAAAGTTAACTAATATTTTTCAGGTTTAAAACCGTTATAAGTGTTTTATTTAATTAGTATCTGATATAAACTAGACTGTGGTTTACGTATTTTAGGGTGACTTTCGAAAACGTTCTACGGAAGCAACAGTTAGGCGACAACGCGATGGACGAAGACGAACCACGTAAAGTTATTACAGTGGAACCCCATGTGCAGCCGAAGCGTGGACCCTACCTCTATAACGAGCCTAAAAAGTATGTAACAACTTTTAAATGTTGTGATTATTTTTATATTCTGTGGTTTAATCAATACTTATTATCCACACTCTATTCTGAAGCGTTCATTTAATTAAATATTTTTTTTATTATATATATGCATTGTGCATATTTAAATATCTATTCTTCTATACTAATACATATATAAAGAAGAGTTTGTTTGTTTGAACGTGCTAATCTCAGCTACTGGTCCGAATTGAAAAACTATTTTTGTGTTGGTTAGGTCATTTATCGAGGAAGGGCTATGAAACATCGCGTTATGACTAACAGTTGAAAATGTGTAAAAACATGGAAAATTATTCATCTCTATTTGTTTCCGATGCGTACGCTTCAAAAACGGTTCAAGACACCCAAAAAATATGTACGCAGGAATGAAAGAATTACTCTTTAAACAAAAAGTTTGCGACACTATATGTCTATCTTTTAAGATTAAATTCCAAAAACAACGACACTCGAATGTCGTTGTCACTGTTTAAATTTATAAAGATAAAAAATTTGGTTTTTGGTAGGTTTGCAAAATCAATTATGGATGCCCTAAATTACTAATTTACGCGGACAAAGTCGCTGACGCAGCTAGTATCTTATATGTAAGACTAAATGGAATAGTCAGCTGGTCTAACTATTCTAAAAACTTTGTTAAATATTTTTCGTGTTGTTTCATAATAATATGTTTTACAGGAACAATATATTGTTTACTCCGACTCAAGTGGAAGCTATAAGATCTGGAATGCAACCGGGTTTGACTCTTGTGGTGGGGCCTCCAGGAACAGGTAGGATATTTTTATCATCAATAGAATCATTTTAAACTTTTATGAGTCCTATGAGTTTAATATTTTGTTAAATAAAGACGAAATATTTTGTTTTTCTACTATCGATCGATGTCGGGTCATACATAAAAACATTACAAACCTAACATGCGGAATTTGTGTGATCTTACTAAGTAATTAAAGATTGTCTTGCTAATCCCATTATTATATTAATTTTTCTAGGTAAAACCGACGTAGCGGTCCAGATTATATCAAACTTGTACCACAACTTCCCGTGGCAGCGCACTCTGGTGGTGACGCACAGTAACCAGGCTCTTAATCAACTGTTCGAAAAGGTTGCAGAACTAGATGTGGATGAAAGGCATTTACTGCGTCTTGGGCACGGTGAGGAGGAACTGCAGACTGATAAAGATTTCTCACGGTAAGAATTTTTTTAAATGATAGAGTAGGACACACATGGCATGGGGTTATATAACCTATATTGCATCTAAACAAAATATGCCATATAAGATGTTCTTTTATCTGTGACTTGTAAAATGACCTAAAAGTACAAAAAGTAGTAAAGTACATTTCTAAAATCTTATGTTTAATTATATATAATTTTAGATTAGGAATAAGTATTATTTTTAAAAGTCTTGACGTTCGTAAGTATTCAGTGGTCTTAAACAAGTTGGTTAAAAGTAAGTCCTATTTATCCTTTTTCTGGTAAATCACGTTAAAACATGGTTTCTTAAATTAGCACTAAAGTTAATATAGATAGACTATAGTATAGCAATTTTTTGTTATCTTGTTTCTTCTCAACTAATTGTATAATTTTCTTTCATACCTTGATACTAAAATATACTTCTATAACAGATATGGTCGTGTCAACTATGTATTGGCAAAGCGACTAGAACTATTGGAGCAAGTATCCCGACTTCAGAAGACTTTGGAAGCAGGAGGCGACGCTGGCGCCACCTGTGAGCTTGCGCATCACTTCCACGTATACCATGTTGTACCCCGTTGGCAGGCTTTTACGCGTGCTGTGAAACAGGTAAATATTCTTTTTGGTTTTAATATTATTAAAATATTCATTTGCAGAAAATTCTAGAAATATTGTGTAACCTACAAATTTTCCTTTTGATCATTTAACATCAGCATGTATAAATAATATACATTTAAAAGCATCCTAAATACAATTATACCATGAACTCCACACCAAAAAAATTTTTGGAAATAACCAATTTTTTTAATATATTCACAGTCAAAGTCAGTCGAAACTATAAGCAAAGAGTTCCCGTTTCACGAATATTTCGACGATGCACCGAAACCGCTGTTCCCTGGAAAAACCTTCGATGAAGATATGGAAATTGCAGAAAGTTGTTACAGGTAAGTAAATTTAAATAATAAAAAAAATACTATTACGCATACTACTGTATACGAGAACAGGCAGTTTTTCGATAAAACTAAAATTGTTAATAACCTTTCCCATGAATATTCTATCAATTATTATATAATGTATTATTATATTATTATTACATATCATAAAAAAATGTCTGAGTTTTGTCCCTAGAATAATAAAAATAGGATATTGTTATTTTTAGATATTCTGTTACAGCTTTATATAGTTGTAGCCAAAATATTTTCTATTCTTCATCAGGTACATAAACCATATTTTCGAAGAACTGGAAGAATTTAGAGCATTCGAATTGCTTCGCTCTGGTCTCGACCGTTCCAAATATTTGTTGGTGAAGGAGGCCAAAATTATCGCTATGACCTGTACTCACGCTGCACTAAAGCGATCTGAACTCGTACAGATGGGTAAGTAGATATTGGTTAATATATACATATAATATAAATTGCTCAAAAATCAATATGCATGTACGATGGAATATACTTACGTTATATTTCTTTATTCCAACGGGGGTATTTCAACTTCTATTGATTGAACGCATACTGGCCTTCTTGATCATTAAAAACAATAATATCTGTTGTATAAGAAGCAACGATTTTTTAAACCTAAATATATCCACAGGTTTCAAATATGACAATATCTTGATGGAGGAATCGGCTCAAATATTGGAAATAGAGACGTTCATTCCGTTACTCCTCCAGAACCCTCAAGATGGTAGATCAAGGCTTAAGCGATGGATCATGATAGGGGATCACCACCAGCTTCCGCCGGTCGTGAAGAACATGGCATTCCAGAAGTATTCTAACATGGAACAGAGTCTTTTCACGCGCATGGTGCGTCTCGGCGTTCCATATGTTGAGCTGGATGCTCAAGGAAGAGCAAGACCTACGTAAGACATTCTTAATTTCAAACTTAGGTATAAAAAAAACATAAATGATACAAAATTAATGTTACTGTCTAGTTTACGCTATATACGCTACGCTATTATGCTATAAAACTTAAACGGTTTAAAACGCGATATATATTAGTTAAACTTATTTGAACATTATTTTTAACATCAAACCGACGTTCTGTCTCCACGTGACCACGACTGCTGCAAAGCATCCGAAACGTCGAAGTTTTAACCCTTAAAGTGTTCTATTTAAAAATTAATGTTCCTTTCAGCATCTGTAACCTTTATCGTTGGAGGTATCGCGCACTCGGTGACTTGGGGCACGTATGCCGTCTGCCTGAGTACCGCGCGGCAAATGCCGGACTCCGTTACGACTTCCAACTCATTAACGTAGAGGACTTCAATGGTGCCGGAGAGACTGAACCTAGTCCGTATTTTTATCAGGTAAGTTATAAAGTGATAATAATATCACTTTGTTTCTTGTCGTTAGTACCGAGGTATTTCTGGTCCTTCAAGCCAGATAAGCAATGTTACATATAAAGTTGTGAGGCTCAGTTTTAGCAATATATTATATATGCATTAGTATTGTAGACATTACGTTTACAAGAAATGTTGTCGTCAATTGTTTTAATGTAAGGACTTAAATAAATTAGATGTTTAGCGACAAAAAAAAAATTGGTTTATTTAATGCATTATTTTATTTGCAGAACTTAGCAGAAGCAGAGTATGTAGTTGCAGTATTCATGTACATGAGAATAATTGGATGGCCAGCAGAGAAGATTTCTATCCTCACTACGTATAACGGGCAGAAACACCTAATCAGGGATGTTATAGACAAGCGTTGCGCTGATAACCCAGTCATCGGCAGACCACATAAGGTAAATCTTGAAATTTTGTATATTGTTTTAGACCTAGACAATAAAACTGTATAAGGCTTTCAAACTTTTGGAAATCTTGGGTCTTCGATCTTATTGTCTCAATTAAGAATCTTTTTGATTTTAACAATGAGTTATAAAAACTGTGTTAATACATTTCTGATATAATTTTAAAAGTCCATGCTTATTACATTGCAATTTGAAATTAATGTACGTAATTGTAAATTTATAAACAGTTTTATTAAAAGCACAAAAAAAAATTCCACCTTTCTTTGTTTACATAACCTCTCAATTTCAATTTCCATTACAATAGTATTTCCTATGACCAAATTCCAAGCTGCAAAAACTTAAATGGATTATTTAACAACAGGTTACTACAGTGGACAAATACCAAGGACAGCAAAACGACATAGCGTTGATATCGCTCGTGCGTACTAAAGCGGTCGGACACGTGCGGGATTTGAGACGTCTTATCGTGGCGGCGTCTCGGGCTCGTCTGGGTCTTTATGTCTTCGCTAGAGCTAATCTCTTTAGAAACTGCTTCGAATTGCAACCGACCTTCAATCAGGTACTTTTATTAATTGTTTCAGAATTAAAATAATTATACTATTGTATTTTATAGATTTAGTAATTTGATACTTTTGTGTCGTTCTCTTATTTCATTACGATTCGTTATTAGCACTATAAGTTTTGATTTTTTGAGTGGCATGTGAGTTTTTATTTTTAATAACATGGTGAGGTTAATTTAAAAATCGAAAATGAAATTGAAAAGGGAAAAATTTTCGGGCAGTCGGGGAGTTGCCCGAGTCGAAAACGGTTTTTCAAAAAAAAAAAAAAAAAAAAAAAAAAATTTCAATTTATTTTCGATTTTTAAATATATGGTGCCTTCATGTGCAAATTATATAGTGCCTTCATGTGCAATAACATGTGAAAAAGGTTAATGTTTTCAAACATGTAGGTTATTTTTTTCTCTTTAGTTTATTCAATAATTTGTTACTTATTACACATTTTCTATCTCCTTAGTTAATAGAGCGCCCTCTTGAACTGGAACTAGTTCCCGGTGAGAGATATCCAGCGCAGCGCAGTGCCGCAGCTGTCGCGCCAGATGCCCTAGTTCAACGTATGCGTGATATGCCACACATGGCTAGATTCGTGTACGACCTGTACATGGAGCAAACTGCGAGGGCGCAACCACAAGTACGTTACACGCCTATTTGACTGTTTAAATGGATTGATAAAACATATTCAGTAATACAGGAGATTACAAATCTATACTAACAATCGATCGAATCGTGTGTAATATACCGTTATACTTATTTTACATTATCTTATTAATCCATAATCTGTTTATTTAATAAGTTACTGGAAGTTGCCTCTCTCCTATAATCCTTTTCAAATGAGCAAATCTTTATTTTTTCCTTTTCACTCCTTTTGGTGAAGAGATAATTGTAAATTGTTATTCTTAGTTCCCTCAAACCCATAATTTATACTTTTAGGGCGAGTGGAGTGCACCAGGCACGAAACAGGCTGCGCACGCGCAGGAGGCCACGCATCATGTGCCAGCGCATCCCGGCGGAGACTCGGACGACGAAACCTTCACACCTACTGAGATTGTAAACGAAGTTGACGATCCACCGACATAATTATAATGTTCATGTAATTTTAAGAATACATTTCTGCTAATTTAGAAATCGTTTTCTTTTTCTAATGTTTTAAAATTAAATTAAAGATTTTAATATTAACTGGTCAAAAACATCAGTTTGGGGCATTTCTGAAAAAGTCTCAAGAATAACAAATAAGAGGAAGGTGGAAGCAGTGATTTTCCAAAACGAACCAAATCAATTTTGTATACACAGTTTAATCACAACACTGGTAGTAAAATCTAACCAACTTCAATGATACGAGTGACCCGACTATTCGTGAGTGCGTGAAGTGTTTTTTTTTAAAGATCTTTAAACATGTCCGCCACAATATATGTATATCTGTTAAGATTATCTTTCAAGGACGACTGGACCCGATCGACATCGTGGGTAACAGCAATAATTGATAAAGATGAGGAGGATTAGGTTTGCAAAAACAAATTCTGAAAATATTTGAAAATAAATAATAAACTTAAAATTAAAAATTTTTATTAAAAAAATAATTATAGAACATAAATAAATTGATGCGTTACCATACAGTAGATTCCTAAATAAATTCGTAAATTAATATGGCACAAACAATAGTCTATAGATAAAAAGTTTACCTAAATAAACCTACCAAACGAGTATTATTGGTTGGTGATTTGGCATACAATTTATAATAATTAATTTAAAAACTACTTTTTTATTACTTAAGATCTTTACATAACAAAGATAAGTAAACATGAACTATAGCTGGACAATCTAATAATTGTTTATTATGATAATATTTACAGTTTTAAGAAATCGTTTCCCTGTGAGATTCAAAGTTTAACAAATGTGCAGTGTTTTTGGATGAGCCCAAAAGCAAATAGATTGATATAATTAAATGAGATTATGTGAAATATTATTCGTTTCGATTTTTAAAATAAGACGATTATGTGTAAAGTTAGTAACCAGCATTAGTTTCATTTCCCTTAGTATATTCGAGAGAAAGAGAAGAGAAACTTCTGGAATTTAGTTTCCAAACATTCATAAGGTTAGGTAACGTTTTGGTTCCATAAAGATTTAAGAAATATGCCCAATTTGCCTAGGCAAGAAAACATCCTGTATCTTTTATCATATTTACAAACTAAGCTTTACTGAAATCGCATTCTATCAATTACTTCATATATAATTGTAAACTTAACAATCGATGAAAATCGTTCATAGTACAATTATAATTTTAGAATCTCCTTATTATTACAAAACCTATGTTTCCACAAATAAACTTCCAAACGCATTCATAGTATATATACATGCAAATATAAATCTCAATAATATATTTACAGCGTAAAACGCATGCTGTTAATAATAGATAATTAAAATTGTTTATTATGCAGATTATACCAACTGTAATATCTCAGGAAATCATTTCTATATAAAATTGATATGTCAGAACTTAATATACAATTTACAAAGACCCTGAATATAAGCTACATTTAATTGAGCCTCACTTCCACTGTATCATCCAGCATTTGCTCCTCATCCGCATCGTCATCTGGACTCAACTTGTTGGCCAAAGGTCGAGTGAAGAATAAACAGCATCCTTCTTCAGCTAGACCCCTCATAGCACGACGTCTTAGAAGAACAAGTATAATGAAAATTACGACGCCTTGGAGACAGTTGAACGTGTCCATTATTTTCCTGGTAACAAAATGGGAGTAATAAGCGAGTGACAGTTTGTATGTTATCCTGTAGGATATTGTTTATTCCGTTTAAAATTGATTTGTGAGATTTGACCCCAGGGGTCCTCGCTCTTGACGTTTAGCTTAGTTGCGTCCCCGTAAAGTAATGGAAGTTGTGTTGCGTGTATATAAGTAAGTTTAGCACAGTAGCAATAGACAGAGTAGTTAGTAGACTTATATGAAAGGATACCGAACTGCGACATATGTTATATTATTCCCATAACGGGATCTTTTATTAAGTTTAAGAAGGTTCTACGTAAATTTGCGAGGAATTACCGTAAAATTTTTGTTTTAGCCCTATTAAAAGATAAAGCGACTACGATTTTAAGATAACAAGAAATGAAATAGAAAAAAGTACGAATTTATTAATAAAGGCTGAATAAAGACCGTCGTAGATTCTAATGTATTTTGAATACTTACACTATATGTAAAATATATGGGTTCTTACCAGAGAATGTGTTTCTCTCCATGAGCAAAACTGGCGATCTCAAATATCCAAGAAATTCCCATGACCAGGAACAATTTTAGAGAAGTGAGGAACCTGGCAAGCAAGATAAACTATTAACAAACATTTTACTAAATGGCGTTTATATTATCAAAGTAAAAATCAATTATCATTTTTAAAAGGAGTGATATCAAAACGTAGCTAGATCATGTATAAGTAAATATAAAGACCAAAAAACATAAATGCGACATACTTGCGTTTAAGATTATTAAGCTTGTTGACTTCATATTTCTTTTTGTTATAATTCCATAAGTTGTATGAAGATAACATAAACAGAACGATGTTAGCGGCGACTAATACCGCAATTGGACCGTAGAAGTATAGCCACGTTTCGGTTCGGCCTGGAAAAAGAATATTTAAATAACACTGAAAAGGGGGAAAAAAAAAAAAAAAAAAAAAAAAAAAAAAAAAAAAAACCCCCCCGCCCCGGGGGGGGGGGGCCCCCGCCCCCCCCCCCCCCCCCCCCCGGCGCCCCAAAACAAAACGGGGGGGGGGGGGGGAAAAAAAATTTTTAAAAAAATTTAAAAAAAAAAACCGGTTTTAAAACCGGTGGAGTGTTTTATTTAAATGTGTACTACTCGCGTAAACTATAGACAGTATTTAACAAGAATATTGTTAAATCACAGTTCATAAACACATACAGTTCGGTATTTATTTTAACAAGAAGTCCATGAACATAAGGATCTACCAAAAACCTTTTTGTTATCTATCATTTGATATTTAAAAATATTTTACAGACTAAAACTTTCATCTACCTGAAATGGTATTACATAATACAAACATAGGTATGTTGATTTTAGTTTTAAATATTTCCCACACAATATTTTCTAGATTGACACGGCTTTAGGAAGATTCTCAACGTATATTCCATTTGTCTTTCATGGTCTTTTAAATACCTACTTAAAAATCCTATTAATATAATTTTCTTACCACTGAACCAGCAGCTGCCATCACCTATTCCGGGCTTGTAGTGGTCTCCCTCCACAAAATTGGTGATCAAAGCTATAAACAGAAACATCAAGGTGCCCCCCCACGCGTAGCAGTTATAAATCAAACATTGCTTTCTTTCTGTCTTCTTCAAGTAAGCGGCGTCCCTAAAAATGGTATAACGATTACACTTTATAATTCACAACAAAATTAAAATTTTAATAGAACAGTGAAGCTGTGAAAAAGATTTTTCATAAGAAATTTAAGAAGAAAAATACTTTTCCTTCTATTGGTATAAAATAACTGTTATTAATAAAAAAAATGCGAGAATTTTTTATATTATGGAAAATATAATCACGCTCTTTTTCTATCTTTGGCGTTTTATTATAAGGTAAGTATTATAAGGTAAGCTCCACTTATATATCAATATTTATTGTCCGTTTGAAGCTCGCAAGAATATCCCTAGTATTTAGAAATGGTAACACTTACTGTACAGTCCGATACATATTAATGCTTATTACATTCATCCAGAAGAATGTTGCCATCATCCAGAAGTAAATAAGAAAACCTAAAAATATACATAAATAAATTAAAAAAATATACCTTTTTCGTTAAGTAAATATGAGAAGATCTTACGTTTTAGTTTTTTTAATTCATAATACTAGTTATTTGTAGCTCTATTATATGAAATTAGCTATTTCTAAGCTTTGAAATAAAGGTTTTTATACAGTAAGTCTCCTCTATGATCATTATAAATTAAATTATCATAGTTTAACGTCAAAATAGTGAAATAAATCTCTTACCTGCCACAGTGCATTTATCACCACTGAAACTGGGGCTTAACTGTAAGATGCCGAGTGAAAGAAAACCCAAGGCCATGCTCATACACATACATATGTAACACAACCCTTGTAGATCCCTAAAAAACGATTAAAAGTGAGTATGAATAATTATTTAACATTGAAAAATAGAATGTATATATATAAATGTTTATGCAGCGAACATATTTCTGTGTCCGTCGCACTAATCTTTTTTTATTACAGGACAGACAAGCCGACAAAATGGGGTACACTTGATCGTAGGTCAGATAACCTAGCTGTACAACGTGTAAACGAGATGCGCTGTCGATCTATAATTGCTTTAGATATTTGGGAATCGCACTGAACCTGAAACGCGATTAAACTTCACGGCTCTTAGGTCTGTGGATGGTGATTCGTGACCCGGACGGAGTTTCAATATTCCCACCACCCACTTAACATCCAGATTGAGGAAGTTCAACATGTTTCAGAAAAATATAAATTGATTAGATAAATGTTTGACCCGGTGGGGATCGGACCCACGACGCTTTGATTATTAGCCATCCATTACTACCATTACACCAAGAAGCCTGTCAAGCACATATTACCGACAAGTGATCAGACTTCTGTGCCCGATACAATAAATAGACCCATGACCTCTCGTTCTTAACGCAATGTTAATTGATTTAGAATGACAATCTTATATATTAAACAGTCTAATATAAGAATGAGTTGTTAGGTTATTAAGTTAATAGAACCGAAAAATAAATTTGAAATCCATAAACTAATTTTTTTATTTATCTGTAATTCGATAACGATCACTATCAATTACTGATAAACACTGGACAATAACCCGGGACGTCAGTCGTCGGTTGCTATATGGCGTTATATTTTCTATCCGACTCTTAATTATGAACAATGGCCAAATTGTACCTGACGGCGAACAGAATATATGTGTTAGATATCAAATCAGTTTTTTTTAATTCTAGAAAATATTAATAATAACTCATAATAAAGCCAGGAAGAAGCTTTTTTTGCTTTTTATATGTAGGCAAGTAAAGATTTGTCAGCGATCAAATGTCAATCGACAGCGGGTTGACATTAATGACAGTTGTTATTGCCTTTGTTTTGATATGACTGGGTTTAAACAGTTCTTTAATTTACCCACGTATAAACTTTTAGGGAACCGTGCACCACTAAAAGTCCGACTTTAATATAAAATAATTTATTAATTAATTTACATTACACGAACCAGCATTCACATTATACGGAGCGGCTGACATAGCCCCTACAAACTCATTCTCCTTTTTACATACTTCATGAAATAGTTCGTTAACATTCTCATTTCTGCAGTTGAAACATATGTAATCAAACTTATTTATTAATTCTAACCTCACAAGTATTTTAGACGATATTAAATTATGTTGCCTTTTTAAAAAACGTTTTCGTATAAGCCGGTATTTAATACATCAAAGTAAATAAAACCCTTCCATTTTACTAATGGTCGCGAAAAATTTTAGGTAGGTACCTATACAATTTTGGCAATTGCTCATTAGGACACAACGAACGAAAAGAACTGGCGAGAAATATTTTATACTATAATAATTATCATTAAGCCTTTACATATATGTAAAGCTGAAGAGTTTGTTAATTTGAACGCGCTAATTTCAGGAAGGAGTAGAGTAATGGAAGGCTATAAAAAAAATAGGAAAATTATATATCATTTGGGCGTACGCTGCAAAAACGGTTCAAGATACCCAAAAAATATCTATGAAAGAACGATTTCTCTTTAGATGTCTCGTCCGCCATCTTTTAAGATTAACTTGCAAGATTTATAAAGATAAAGGGGTTTGCAAGAATGAATTTGCATGCCCAAAATAACGATTCTCGCGGACGAAGTCGCGGGGCACAGTAGTAGTAAATATAAGCAAAAACGAATTACCTCAATTGCGGCAGGTATATGTAGACAGCTGTCGTAGCAAGAAGCAAAACCACAGACACGAGGGTCAATATTCCACCAGTCTCTATATCGTTTGTGGTAGCTTTGATCTCTTCGTAACAAACGACTGCCACTTTTGTGGTTCCTAATTGTGGTTGACTTTGATTCTTGTACATTTCACTTAGGCAGTAACTAAAAAATATAGTTTATAATTTATATAATGTTAATGTTGAACACAACCATCTGCTATTTTATCTTAGAAAAATCCCAAATACTAATCGGATCCGGAAATTAAATCCGCGATCTGCAATCATGTCTACTAACATTAACAGACAGTATCTTTATGACCTAAACGACTTATACAATTTATAATATTCCCGGGATAACCAAGATCTCTCGTGCTCACCATTGAAATACAGGGACGGGAGACTTGGGAATCCATAGGTACGTAATATATTTACGTTTATACGTGTATCTAGGTACCTACATAAATAAATAAATTTTCACTTGATTTGATTAAGATCGTGAAAAACATTTGTTTTTTTTTAATTTATGTTCGTTTCTTTATTTATTTTACATAATGTATTTGCCGATACCACGGATCACTCACTAACATAAAACGTAATATTAAAAAAAAATAACGAACGAAGAGGACGGAGAAGCTGATCTCTGATTCTAATCCCCATAGAAAAATGTTGGTGCCGCTGGGGATCCAACCCACGTCCCGTTAATTATTAGCCGTACATTGCTCCAACTAGCCCGTCAACATATAAATAAAACCTCCTTAACTAAACTTGTTAAATGTGATATCGTAATAAACACTAAAAGGAGGTACAGAAAAGAACTCACAGATCAGGATTCTCCACAAATATGTATCCAGGGGAATCCTGTGTTGACACCTTAGTTCCGTCCAGAACAACATCCTTCAACAGCATGTGTCCTAGGGTGCAATTTATGTTGACGCGATTCGGTTGGTTGCCGCAGTAGCCACCTGGCCTCATCAGTACATTGTCTGGACAACATTGCTTTGCACAGACTGATATTGTGCATACCAGTACTACAAAGGAAACCACGAACTGAAAATTTTGAAATTATTAAAAATCTACACTAATATTATAAAGTTAAAGAGTCTGTTTGTTTGAACGCGCTTATCTCAGGATTTACTCGTTCGAATAAAAAAAAATCGTATTCTATCGAAGCTAAGATTCAGTCTCCCCGCGACCACGGCTGCACAAAGCATCCGAAACTTCGGGCTGTAGTTAAAATAATTTTCAAATAAGTTTAACTAATATTTATCGCGTTTTTACCCGTTTAAATGTTCTATTTAATTGTGTACTAAAAAAAATACGACACCTCATGTTATTATGTAAAATTATGATAATTGTTTTAATGGATCTAGAAATATAATTACTTAAATATATACTTCACTATTGCCAACATAAATACAACGATGTAACGTCATGATATTATGTTGATTTATTTTTAAATTTACGGCTGTATTCAGAATAATAGCTAAACGAGAAATATCTATTACTAGCTGTGTCAGCGACTTCGTTCGCGAGAATCGTTATTTTGGGCATCCAAATTCGTTTTTGCAAACACCTTCATATTTATTAAATTAAGCTGTTACCCACGACGTCATTCGCGTCCCTTTCCGTATTGCATGCAAGTTAATATTATAAGAGACATATATAACGTCGCGGACTTTTTTTTTACATCATTTAAAGAGGATTCATTCGTTCATATATATTTTTGGGATATCTTGAGCCGTTTTTTCAGCGTAAGCCTCGGAAACCCATAATAATGAATCATTTTCCCAATTTTTTTTACATTTCTCGCTATATCGTCGCTTGTACATTTATTTGTCACAAGGCGATGTTTTATAGCCTAAACCCTTTCTCGATAAATGCTTTAACCAATACAAAAATAAATATTCAATTTAAACCAGTAACTGAGATTAGCGCTGTCAAACTATCAAACTCTTCAGCTTTATATATTAGTATAGATTTGAAATATTTAAACAAAATTAACTCAAATTAAATAAAACACTTTAACGGTTTAAAACGCGATATATTAGTTAAACTTATTTGAAAATGATTTTTAACTTCGGCCCGACGTTTAACTAATATATCGCGTTTTAAACCGTTAAAGTGTTTTATTTAAATGTGTACTACTCGCGTAAACTATAGACAGTATTTAACTCAAATTATTCAATATGTTGTTTACTGTGGACGTCAGTACAATTAAAATATAAAACAAAAGACTGTAAATTACCATTTACTACTGATGTCATTCGAATATCAACGTTATTACAATCAAATAGTCCAAAGAAGTATTTTTAAAAGCACTTTCACTGGCAAATTATCGGTAATGTGGGTACGCCACGCTTCATTATTGGGTGTCGATTTGATTCCTGCCTATATGTATAATTTTTCAAAAACACTATAAAAAAGTCTTAATGGGAATTTAGATGCTATGTATTTTATGATGTGTAAATTATTCGAAATCGTTAAAATCGTACTGTCGTTTGTGCATTTGGTTAAAATCATACTGTTTATCGCTCGGTTCAGGGTCGACAGAACATCATTAACAGTCAATAGGAGATACTGTCGTTATAATTAATTTCTACTGTCATTCACTTTGTCCGGTTAATGAACTACTGTTGCTTTATAACTGTGTTTATAGTAGAATAATATAATGAATAGGTATAAGAAGCTTATTAGTAGATACAAAATAGTGCTTAAAACTATAGTGGGTTGTTTATCTCCTACGCGGACAAAAAGATCTTCCATTTTGCTAACGATTAAGTCGTGGGACGAAGTCCAATATGTTGGACTTCGTCTGGAAAATCTGTTTATTATATGGGTTGTCTACCAAAATTCCAATCGAGACTCTATTGTGATGGAAGAGAATAACACATGCAAGAGTCGTGAAATATATCGGTTTCAGACGGTGAATATCCAATTGTCCAAATAAAAAACAGGTAGACATCGCGTTTTGTATAGATGTTACATGGCTGGCAGACTCCACCTTACATCATATCAACCTTTGTTTACAGTACGTTCTGTCATAAAAACGTCTTGGTATTACAGCAGGTAAGTCTTGCCGAACAATCTGTTAATGATAGCAAATTCAATGCCTATTTATTCTCATAATATCAAGTTCACACAGGTCGCTAATATAGATCACAAATATGGGTCAGTGGGCAATCAATGATCGGTAATGATATGTATGGAGGGTAATTTGATTAAAATTTTACGACTCTTGATATCATTTAAGTTTATACACTATTTAAGATCGGGGTAGTCTGTGCATCTGCTTGGAATACAGAAGTTCTACAGAATTAAAAGCAGAACATATAAAAAAATATATATTCCTTAAAATTTATTTAAAGTATAATCAGGTTCTTCGAATTGATAAATTTTAGAAGAAAAAAATTATATTTGTCAAAAGAAATATTAAACGCTATTTCAAATTAAAAAAAAACCTTTATATAAGATAAATATTAATTGTTTCATGCAAATCTGGGGTAATGTGTCAATATATACCAGGAAAGACAACACTACGACACTTTTCTCGTCCGTGGTACGATTTATTTGTTTTTTTATGAACTGAAATATTCCAAGCACATAAAAGCAAAACGATCGAAGCAGTCGATCGATTTGGCTTTCAGCATTTAGAAATCCACAGACTGAATTACACACGTACACGTTAGTGCACGTTTTGAGACTTTAACGGTTATTATCTGTTGACGGGGTTCGTGATGCAGGTGAAATCTGGACATTACAAACCATTCAGGAAAAATACAAACGGTATATTAAGTCTGGAAAATCCAAATGTTGAGGACCTATGAGCTTGTCTACTAAGCGAATAATGTGTTGTTTGGCACCGATCAATTCCACGAATGTCCAAACATTGTTTGTCGAGTAAAAAGGGAAATCCTCTTTCTGTTGATTATATTTTGGTGACTAATTCGAAATAACACTATTTGTCTTCATTTGCGTAATTTATTCTAATCGTGTTATTCAAGTAGTTATCTTTATGGGAAGATAAAAATACACGTTATACATAATATAAGCGCAAACGATGTATTTTTAATATTTAATTACTGCAAAATAATGTTATTATTCTTATAAGACACCAATAACTTGCTGCATCAAATAGCGTAGCAATAGTAGTATTACAGTATTTTTTATACTTTAAATAAATTTTGATGCCCAAAATTCTACGCGGACGAATTCGTTGACACAGCTAATATTTTATATGACAAAAAAACGTTAGCCTAGTCTAGTCTAGCTAGTAAGTCGTAGCCAGATTGCCCCCCACTACTACAATAACTAGTAAAAAAAAACTTATTATGTCTAATATGGCCAAAGTCTTTCACAATTGCATTATAGTTGTTTGATGTTAAAAAAAAATTGTCACCACGACTCTATGCAGTGTCGAACTCTTTGAGAAATTTTGTTATTAAAAAATAATTCGTATCGTCATTATCGTTACATAGGAGACCCTTGACCCGTAGCAGAGAGGGGCTGGCATAATTTGTTTTAAACATCTCTGCTATAATAAACTTTTGACTATTGACCTGCGTTTGTATATCAAGGGAGATACCAAATGCTAGTGTTATTTTGGGTTATTTGTACGTATCAATGTATATTTTTTATTGATAGAGGATAGACAAACATAGGGCTTGATGGTAAGTACCCCAGCCATATAACATTTAAATAAGTTGCGCTATCAACCTCCTATGGCTTTGGATATTCGGTAACCCACAGACTGCAACGTAAACGTGTTTAAACTTCAAAGCTGTCTCATTTGTGGACAGTGGTTCGTGATCCGGACGGTATTTCGATATTCCTACCGGCCCATTTAATATCGATATTTTCAGACGAAGTTTAACATGTCTCTGAAGGATTATACATTGATTATAAATGTTGGTGATGGGATCCAGCCCATGATCCGTTGATTGTTAGCCATAAATTGCTAATAATTACACCAAATAACTACCCTATTTGATGAATCTTTAAAAGGATCTGATAGAATTGGACTAGCCATAAAAATAACAAGAATATTTAAAAATAAAAAATTCTCACTGATGTGGCTTAAACCTTAAGAATCACATCTAAAACATTTTTATTTAATTTTAAAACCAGAACGTAATATTTCTTAAACAATACTAGCTGATTTGTAGGTTTATATATTATTTCAAACTAATTAGTTTATGTTTAATAATGGTGATAAAAATATCTCACACAGATAATGTCATATTTTTTTCTCGACCAATTTTAATGAATTGATTATCGTCTGTAGTTTACGCCAGTTGTACACCATAAAATACAATACTTTTAACAGTTTTAAGCGCCAGATATGTAACATAGTGAGCTTATTTTGGACTACGACCCAACGATAATACAAAGCAAACTTTAAGTGATAGTTGAAGAATAACTAAAATAACGAATAAACAAGAAAACAATTTAAACTAAATGGATGTAGTAACTTTATTTTAAATTAATAAAATATATAAATTAATGATTGACTTATCCTAAAATAAGTATATCCATGTTTCATACTATTAAATGTGTTTTTATTTAATTAAATTGTGATCGCAAATTGTTAAGGTCCGCGTAAATGTTCCCTAGAAAGAGTAAACGGCGGGTCTGTGTCTATTTGCAGCTGACCGGTTTTACTACTATCTGTGTACTTTTCGCGCTTATCAGCCCATAGCATACTATTATTATAGATAACGGATACATCATAGCATGTTCTATTTAATCAACCGTCATATTCGGCGAACTGTTAGCAATAATTTTGAATAGTGTGAGTCGCGTTACGAAAAATTATCGAAAAAATCTAATTATACCGAAATGTTATAAATAAACTATGACTCAAGTATAGATAAAACTTTAGTGTTTCGAAGTAATTATCGTTTTTATATGCTTACATTATAATTTTGTTACATGGCACATGATTTGATGTAAAATATAGTACTGTTTTTAAATTTTGATTTCGACATTATCTATATTATTTATTTCGAAGTTTTGCATACGTTTTATTGATTTACGGTTTGAACATTATTTATTTCTCAAACGATTACAAAAGGTGTGTGACATTATTATCTTACCTTTAGACGTAAGACAATAATGTCAATGACCAATACTAATACTATTAAACCATTGTTTAGAAGGTAGTTCCAAATTCTTGACATATTTTTTATGATCCTTGGATGTACAACACACGCATGACTAGTTTTCAAATGACATAAAGATAGAACTCTCTCATTTAGTCTTATCTACTTGCATGTAAGTATTTCATTGTTTGCGTTTAAAACGTACTGGGTGTAATTGAAGAGCCAAAAATAAATGCCACATTCCCGTCTTTATGCCAAATATAGATTAGGAGCACCGTGTCGCGAAAATTATTCACAAGTTATGTATGCATGCTGTCGACAAATTAAAACGATTTTAAAATACACGTATGTACTTAATTTACTCGTATATATGTACTTGGGTTTTGCAAAATCAGTGCTGTGGCACAAATGTGCTGCAACTTATGCGGACGCGAGACTCTTTTACCATCACTTCTCTTCAAATTAAATTAATTGTTTTATTAAAATTACATTTAATATTTTCTAGCATTGCACTAAATCAAAATCAAGAGATTTATTATTATAAAAATTATCAAGAAAATTCTTTATGAAATCTACAATGCGAATACAGGAGCAACAAAGACGAATTTTGTGAACTACCCTCTTAATTTCATAAAGATCTAGAACAAATCAATAAGTTAATGGCTGGGATAATAAAACATGTTTTTGATACTATTGCAGTCGGGTCAGAGATAAATATTATCAAGCCGGTGCCACTTAAATAAAACAGACGCCATTCATTACAAAGTTACACTATTCTAGTACTCATGAATGCATAATACTTATTCAAAACAGTTTCATTTCTATTACTAGGTAATACTAGGACTAGAAAATAAATAAAAATATAGATTACCTTCATTTTATTAATTCCAGACTTAGCACAATTTCGGTTATCTGTCACAATAGATTTATTTTGTGACCAATATCTAATAGTACACGGATTCGAGTAAAGATTGTGTTATCGATGTACAACAAGGAACAATACTAGAGCGAATTACGCGTCTGCACACACCACTGTCGCTCGCAGAATAACACGTTTTTATTTTGTATGACACCCCTTCTAGTTGAGCCTCAGAGGAACAGTGATAAGTAAGTAATGGTTAAAATTATAGCAGACACTTTTTTTTTTGCTTATTGATCTCGAGGTGCAATGAAGTTGTTTATTTGATAAAAGTTAATTATTTGTAACTTATAAACTTTATACTAGGATTCAACTTAAGCACTAAGGTTTAATATTTAAATGACAGTGATTACTATTTAAACATTTCCTCTATATATTTAGCGACGTCTTCCGTGACATTCGGGTTAAACGCTTTGGGTAGCATTATGTTAAACATAACAAGTCCTGGGTTTGAATCCTACTGTAACATAACAAATAGTTTCAGTCAGGCAAAGATTTAGTGTAGACGACGAAGGCGCCTGTAAAAGTTGACTTAAAGCCTCCTAACTAGAATTAAGTAAAGTTTCGTGTATTACGTTTACCCACATATAATCAGATCTGTAGAAATGATGAGAGAGATCTGCAGAAAATTAAATGTCGGAATAGAAAGTATTTTTAACTGAGAAATACATTTAAAACAGCGACATCTAGCGGCAAATTATTCTTGTTAAAAACTGAAAAAAAATACACAGTGTAACACTAGATGACGCTTTAACAACCAAGTTTTTAATTATTTCAGATGTTTTCAATAATTAAATTACTTTAAAATTAATTAATCTTTATTGTTTATCTAACATTACTGATAATAATGGGAGAAAGAACCAAACTAAATAATTCTTCCATTATGCAATAACAAATTAATTTATAGGAAAATCTAAAAAATCTCGCTAGTAAAACACATGTAATTTATACAATAAAGATACTTTAATGACAGACCATACAAGACATAATACACATTTTTAATAATAACAAGGTACAAGAATGTTTATTGTATTTTGAAATAATTACAAATTAAAAACTTAGTATCTAAGTATAGACTAGCTAAGGTTAATATTATTGACTTGTGTTCCTTTATACTAGTTAATGGCACATACCTATTATATTTTATTAAAAAAACGTAAAACTATGACTAACAATAGCTATCGTTATGACTTGACAACTTATTTATTTAATATCTATTTTATGTTTCACGTGTATATTTTAAAGGTTGTATTTTACTTTAAATATATGCATGCATGTACAGCAAATACATATATTCAGCAAAACTCAAGAAACTATATAAATAATTAGATACTTACAATTTCAGTATACATAAGTCATTTAGGAAAATGCATTTACAATAATTGAAAACATTTAAGACACTCGTAAAACAACCATGGATTTTAATTACTATAATTATATTTATATTTATTTATATTTTATTGTGAATGTTTTTTCATTTTTTTAATACTTAGTTATATTCATAAATGTTATTTTTACATTGTTATGTAAATAAAAAGCTGCTTCTTCTATAGTTTTAACGAAAACTATTAAAAATATCAAGTCCGATTTGTTAATGATGTTACGTGCAACCCATTTCAAAAAAATCAAATTCAGCAATATTAATGTCATTTTACATTAAATGAGTACCTCCATAGTTCAATGAATAAGGTAATTGTATTAAACGTGAGATATACATACAATTTCGTTTGACACGGGCACTTCGTAATCAAACTGTGAATAAAATCATTGAATGACGCTGATGATGTGTCCATATCCCGGGAGACGGGGGTAACGGGGTTTTAGACACACATTAGTTTGTAAGTTAGACGTTCGTAAAACGCCAGTGTGTTTACGCCTTTTATTTATCTATGATCTTCTAAAGGCACATCGATAGTATGTTGAATAACATCTTCGTCGTCTTCGCCAACTGCCAGAAACTTTTCGACCGGTCCGGATACGCAGTCCAAGAGTCCTTGCTTATATAGAGCTTTGATCACACGCTTTCTGAGTGCTACAAGCACTATGAAGACCAACAGACCTTGCAGCAAGTTGAATAGATCTAATATCGCCCTGTGGATCACAGAAAAAATGATTAATACCTGCAAAATAATTGTAAAGATGAGGTTCCAGTCAACCAATAGTGCGTAAAGATTCGAAAAGCATTTTGTACTAAATACAATAAAATTAAGCTAAGATATGAGTTTTGTTAAAAAAGGATAACACCTGAAAACTAAAAATCGTATCGTAATCGTAAAAGCACTTGAACTAAGTAGGTCTAGCCAATTAAGCCATCGTGTCCTGCTCGTGTCGCAATTTATTTTCAATCTAAAATTCATTTTCATTTATATAATGCCATCATGTGCAATTACATATTTTTTTTAATATGATTTTTATACATAGAAACTTTGTTTATATATAAGATATGGTAAAGAGCGTCCAGGTAGTTGTTTAACAAAGTTTCGGAAAATAGTTCGCGTTTTAACAACGTGGTCGTTAAAAGTTCGGTATTTGAAAAATGTATAACGTAGATAAATTTTCCCAAATGCGTTAACGTGAAGCAATATTTACCTTAAATACTGTCTATAGTTTACGCGAGTAGTACACATTTAAATAAAAAAACTTTAACGGTTTAAAACGCGATATATGAGTTAAACTTATTTGAAACTAATATATCACGTTTTAAACCGTTAAAGTTTTTTATTTAAATATTTACCGTACATAATTAGTGAACCATTGGGGATTGGGAATTTGATAAAATCCTAGATTACTCACCAGACTATATGTTTTTCGAAGAACGTGCTGATCATTTCGAAAATCCAAGGTAATCCCATAATAATAAATAGTCTCAATGTCATCGTGAACCTAAAAACATACAGTATTATAAAACTGACACGGCATTCATTACGTACGCGATAAGGATACATACTTATAGCGGAGTTCTTTCACGTGTGTTGACAAAAATGTGTGCCTCCACAGAATAACAGATAGATAGACGAATATACATATGTTAACCGCGATTAGGACGGTCATAACGCTGTACATGTAATACCACTGTTGTCTATTGTCTGAAAAAAAAGGTACATTTTAACTAGATATACATTTTTTGTTAGCCGGCTTTGAAAACCTCGATTTTTTTACAATTAACTAGCCGTGCACGTGACTTCACCTGCGCCCTTACCAGTCACAAGTCCTTGGCGTCACCATTATTGCTAGTTAATCTTAAAAGATAGATTTTTTAAGATCATTCAAAAATCATTCTTTCATACATATTGTTTTTGGTTTCTTTAGATTGTTTTCGCAGCGCACGCGCCAGAAGCCCTTAAAGATGAACATTTTCGCTGTTCTTCGACATTTCGCTCTGTTTCTACCCTCCCGATGTTTTATAGCCCAAAAGCTTTTCTCGATAAATAGTCCAAACAACATAAAACACTCGAACCAAACTTCCTGAGATTAGCGAACGAACAAACAAACTCTTCAGTTTTATAGTATGAAAGATTGTTTTTTTTAATGATATAAAAAAATGTCCGCGACAGTTTATCTGTATCACTTAAGATTACTTGCATAAAAAGAAAAGAAGAAGACGCGAACGATGTCGAGGTATAATTTATAAAGATGAAAAAAAATATTTTGCCAGCCCAAAACAATAATTCGACGAGGACGAAGTCGCGGACACAGCTAACATTTAATGAATGTAATTACTTTTGTCATCTTGTCCCAAACGTTAACCAAAAAATAAAAATTTACTTACTGTAAAACCAACACGTGTTCAATCCGATACCCGGCTTCTGGTGTTTGCCAGGGTGGTAGTTCACTATGACCATGGCTATCGTAATAAGGGCGGGGGTTCCCCATGCATATATTGCGTACCATTTAAATGTCCGCCAACTATAGTCTGGCACGTTGGGTCTCCTGAAAATTTTATGAAAAATCGTTAAATGTAACAGTTAAGTCTTTTAGTAACTGTAAAGTCAGTTACTTGTAGAAGACTTTGTATTCTAATCATGGGAAAACTAAGTTTTGTTGTTTAATGCGTTAATAGGTCGCGGTTCAAATCTTGGGGAGTCAAAAAGCACTGGCCCGTTTAAATATTTACCACAGGCAGGGTTTTCTGCTACGTTTAAGCTACCGCGCTATGGTACTTTTTTAAGTAGACTGCCCCTTTTTAGAAATGTTCGAATTAAATAGATTTTTTGCAATTATGATAAATAAAATTAAGAGTTAATTTAACTAGAACATGTTTTAAATCTAATAGTTTAAGTAAATAATAATTAATGTTAAACTTACTTGATTCGAAATAGAATTTGTATAGATATCGCGTTCATCCAAAAGAAGCTCGCTGTGACGAAGAAGTAGACTAGAAAACCTGCAAAATAAAAACAAATAAATACACTTTTCTATACAATTTATAATTTTTCAAACGATGTTGGACTTAATGAATGTGGATATTGAATAGGTGGTAGAAATATAGAAATTCCGTCCGGGTCACGAACCACCGTCCACAAATGAAACAGCCGTCAAGCGCAATTGTTTAGATGCTATATGAGCTGGTGGTATATCACCTACCATCGCGCAAGCACTATTCTTGTCTTTCTCTATTATAGAAAATGAGACAGAGAGGTTATTATAAAGCTTATATAGTCTTAATTACCTCTAACGGCACATAAGTTCATATCGGAGTATGAGGTTAATTTCATGATTCCCAATATCATTAGTCCGATTGTCAAGCTGATACAGAAAGAGATTATACTCTTTCCTTGAAGGTCCCTGAAAAGAAATTGAAAACATTTTTTATTTACGTAAATATCGGAAAAACACAAGATCCTGAAAAGTGTTATATAAGTCGCAATTTTCAATAAATCATTCTTAATTGTAACTCAATTGTTCTGCTGTGTTGCACTGAGTTCGAAACCGGCGGAACGTGCTTCATCTAGAAATAATGAAGATATCTATTTCTAAATTGTTTAGATCAAGAAGGACACAAAAAAGCTGATCACAGATGTCGCCTTGTGCATAAAATATCTGCCGATGACCGGCGTGTGAATGAAAAAGACTTACCTTATACTAGGCAATATAATGTAAACGACGGCCGTCAATGCGAGAAAAACCGCGGACACAATCATACAATAACCGAGTATGTCTTCGCTTATGATTACTTCCTCTTCGAAAGCACAAAGCACGAAAACAGGTCCCGAATAATTTGTAGTCTTGTTGGCTACACAGAATCTGAAAAAACGGTTTTATTCACAAAGACTTCATTATTTTTAGGTTAATTACATCTTTAATAAAAAAAAATCAAACAAACATATTATTATCGTTTACTGAGATTTGCTTTGCGAAAAAGGGCAAAATTTATTCTACAAATATATATAAAAAAATATATAACCGTATTATAAATCACTAGTTAGGATATTAAACTGTTAAAAGTGTTTTAATTAATGTAAACTACTTATAAAACTCTATAGACTGTACTCTTGTTAAATTTTGGTTGCGAGGTACGATTGGATATTATTTTATCGTCATTGAATTAAAATAATTAATACGTTTGAAAATTTTTCGGAAAATCAAGATTGCAACGTTAAATTTGAGAATAATTAACTGAATAAGAGCCAAGGTGTAAAAGTTGCCTTCTAATTAATTCGTATCCCTTGACACAAATAATGTGACAGACTATTTATGTCGTAACAAACATTCGTTAAGAAGAAATAGAAATAAAATTATTTTTAGAAACAATAAATTTGTTTTTAACAGAAAACTTATTGAAGACCTAATATATATCTATATATTTTCGCCACATGAATTATTATATAAATGACATTGATTTAGGTAAATTAACGATTTAGTAAGAGTAGTTCAGTTCACAGAACTGCGTTCTTGCAGATATTCTTGACCTACAGTTTCGATTACTATCTTACATACATCTTGCAGAAAAAGAAAATGGTTTAAAATTAAATACCTACTGTCTGTAGTTTACGTGAATAGTGCACATTTAAATAAAACACGTGTGTTTTATACAAATATTGTGTTTTAAACCGTTAATTAAAACACGATATATTAGTTAAACTTATTTGAAAATGATTTTTAGAAACTGTCCCCTCACCCACGGCTGCTCTAAAGCATTAGAAACGTGGCGCCGTAGTTAGAGTTTTTTTTTGTATATTTAAAGTTTGAAATGCAATTTAAAACATTTAAATTTCTAAACACACATAAACTATTATTTTATTAATTGCTATTAAATAATGTTTAGCAATTACAGGAGCAAAAACTGAAGTTATGTTCATAATATGAAAAATATTTATACTTAAATATTTTTAATCTTTATTCGTGACTTAGAAAAAAGGGGGGGAAAGGGCAAAAAAAAAAAATTTTTTTTTAAAAAGGTGGGGAAAAAAAACCCCGGATTATTAGGTCTTTATCCTGACGTTATAAAAATTACTAAAGCATTAACACTTAAATAAATCGTTAAAAAAACAAGTATTATCAAGAAATATATTTAATTTAGACGTTTTCAGTTTACTTAAGAATTAACACGCATTGAGTCATGCTTTATAAGTTTTAAATATCAATCCACAAGTATTTTCATATAAAAAAATTACGCTCTGCGCATTAACATATAAAAATAATACTGAAGAGATACTGTCTCCAATTTACGTTAGTATACATTTAAATAATATACTTTAACGGATTAAATTAAGTTATACTAATTTATATCATTTAAACCGTTTAAGTATTTTATTTTGACGAATAATACTGATAATAGTAAATTTCAGTAAAAGCATTTAAGTTATAATGTGGCATTCAGGGAGTAGTTTTACTATTCATACGGATCAGTTATTCCCAAAGTGGTCTATATCGACCCCTAGGGTCTATGACAACTGCAGGGGTCTCTTGATGAGGGTTCATGAAATAAAAATCGTGGATCTCAACACATACACTGATAGTACCTATTTACTTACATCATACTATCTTATAATATCAAAACATAGACATTATTTATAAAAGTACCTACGAAGTAAAAAACAGAAGAGATATAAAATTTTATTTTGAGTAGTTTTCATTTAAATTTAATTTCAATTAATAAATGTATGAATTGACAAGTTTTTTTTTACTTTAAGTTATGCACACTTAACTTCACTACAGTTATAAATTTACAGGAAATTAATATCATGTATGTAGTGTACCCACCACGGAAAAACATGGCAAGGAGTCTACGACACAAAAAAGTTTTAGGAACACTGACATACAAGTAGATAGTGGCCTAACGGTAAATGCCTGAAAGGGTGCGCCCGGGCATTCAGTTAGTAGAATTACTTACGTATCGACTTCTTGGAGATAATTCTCATCGTTCAGAGTAATGTATGCTGTATCGTCGTCGTTCACTGTGAAATTGTAATCAGTCAACTGTACAACTGAATTACAATTGTTTATATTTACTGGTGTCTTGTCCCCATTTTTATCCACGCAGAATGCTTCGCCGTCAGCTAAAACCGTGTTCTGAGAACAGCACTGAGTTTTCGACGGATCACTAACCACTGCGCCTACGAGACACGTTAATATCAAAAGGAACATTTTCGTTTCGCACTCCATTTACATAGCGATAAAACGCCGCGTCGTCTTAAGGTGAATGAACACGTCTGTTGGCTGCGCCGGCGCCTATTATACTACGATTCGTTTGTGTACACGAACTGAATACACATAACTCACAGTTGTGTTTACAGAATTTAAACATGCTTCAGGAAATTAACAAATATAGTGCCGGTGTTATAAAATTTGCATACTAGTTTCTCTACCCTTACAATTTTCACTATTCGAGTAATGTTTGTTTGTCGCTTAGCGCGAGAGATGAGGCAAATGTAATTTTTTTCTTTGGGAGAAAACCAGTCAACTGTAAAGATAAACAGATAAAAGAAAAAACGTTTTTGATATTTTTTCGTTGCCGTGAAGTAGCTTGTAAGCGATAAGGCGGGTTATTGTATTCCATTATAAAAGTGAAATCACATTTTCCCCTGTGGAGTTGAAGACGAGATACGCCTTCGGACAGGCTGACGGACGTAATCTCCAAAATATACATACAGAGCTGAACAACATATTATTTAACCATAAAAACTGTCTCCATACTCCATTCTACATGTAGTAACAGGTTTTTTTATTTATTTGTTGTTTGTTCATAAACTGTATATAATATACCAGTTTTCTCAAAATAGATTTGCATGTAACAAGCGTTTTAATTACATATTTCAATTTGTATTATGATAAGCCAACATTAGTGATATCTGTACATTGGAACGAAGTCTGTCTGGAACAACGCCTCTTTAAATAGCTACATAGTATCAGTTTGTATGAATGTAAAAATGAAATAAATTTGAAGATTAGTCACTTTACAATGTATGTTAATTTTAAAACAGAACGACAATCTTACATAGGACAATATTTCTTTCGATCACTAAATTTTCTTGTAAAAATGAATTTTGTTTTTTGATTTGAGCTAAGTATATCATTATAAATTATTCCATAGCGATTAAGGAAATTTTTCGATGTACTCTTGACACTTCCGTCATCGAAATTTCCCAATTACAGTAATTGCCGTTCTTATACAAAACGCGACTGTACTTCCGACAGAGACCGGGTCACTTAACTGTTGGCGACTTTTTGCAGAAAGAACGATTCTCATTGTTCGATATGGAATGATCTCATTTTTCGATGGCAACTTTGAAAAGCAAAAAGCAGATTTCGAAATTTATTGAAATTAATATATAAATTCGACCGGATCTTTTTAACGTAATTCCTGTCTGCTCGAGCACGGGATAATGCATACGAAATGTCATAATTAAAATGTAACTTCTATAATTTGCGTTTTAAACCGTTAAAAAGCGTTTTTGTTGTGCATCATAACCTAACAACTCCCAGAGGACAGATCAGAGACGTTCTCAAAATAACAATTTTAATTTGCTTGTAGATAACCTAGAAATAATTTCTTTCTCTTTACTTCTGTCTCACACAATTCAAGTGAGGATTAAAAAAAGTACAACACAATGCTTTTTAGTGCTTTTAAGGTCTCCGATAACATTCCGATAAGTTTTAAGCTACACCGTACCGTGGATGTCGCTAAACTGGTTTTAACTTAAGAAGATGAGTATGGCAGATGGCTTGAATTAAACACATCTTATCTTATAACGTACTATTGAATATAAATGAAACTATTCTCTTACAATAAAGAAAACTTTGAACTTCTTTGGAAAAGATGGGTTAATTTTAGGTCAGCAAGGTTTACGAAGGTTAAAAAAACACCTTAACGGTTTTAAACGCGATATATTAGAGAGACACGACTACTGCAAAACATCCGAAACGTCGGGCCGTAATTAAATTAATTTTCAAATAAGTTTAAATAATATTTATATATTACCCCGTTTTAAACGGTTAGTATTTTATTTAAAAGGTGTGTTAGTAAGCCATATCATTAGTAATTTTTTTTACTTTTGATTTATCATATCAACATAAGAAAACATTTATTATATATATTTGGTGTTTAATAAATTCGTGTAAATAAAGGCGTACTTTTAACTTATTTTTTATATTTGAAATCTGAAGTATGTATTGCCTTGTGTTATAAAAATTCAATGGGTGAACCATTACCATTAGAAGTACCATCTGTTCAATATCTAAATTAACGACGATGAGTTTTAGGATATAAAACATAAATCGATCACTTAGGTAACTACATGTTTGGTTAATCTGAATCCGTTTTCTGTATCGTATATATTTATATTTATTACTTATTACATATTATGTTGCTAGTTCAATACTCCAACAAATACCTAATTGTTAAACATGCATTAATATCGACCAAATTTGATTATTATAAAAACGATTCCTACGAGTTAAACTTAAAAGATAGAAATGTACTGTCGGGAACATTTTTTTTAGATAATTTAAAAAGGAAACATTCTTGCATACGTACAATTTGGTTTCTTGTAACATTTAGGCAAAGGAATAATATTCCCCGTTTTTCCACGTTTTCCACATTTTCCTTCTCTTATTAGTCGCAGCATGATTCTATATAACCTGATGCCTTCCTCGACAAATCGTCTATACAACACAAAACGAATTATTATAATTCGAACTTGTAATCCCTGAGATTTGCGCGTTTGAACAAACAGACTCGTCTACTTAACAATAATAATGTATAGTTTAGAGAGACCATTAATAATGAGAGCGTTTAAAAATAAACGGTAGCGTTTTATGAATGGATATAGTGACTCAAGTGTACCTTGAATACGATTAAGCTTCATACGTAAGCAACGTTTGAGAGGCGATTCTCAACTAAGCGAAATAATATTTAGCAATTTAAGACGGAAATTACATCAATTTCATGGAATTAATTAACGACTTGAGTAATCGTTTATCACTCGACTGAGAATTGCGTCCCTACGCTCATTCTGTTTTACTGTATGTAATAATAATAACTTAGTGCATTTATAGTATCAAAGCGTAGCGCCCTTACATGTATTATAATCGCCATAATTTAAGACATCGATTCGCAATTCTAAGAACTATTAGACTATTACTAACCGTGATTTAATCTTCATTGTTCGAATGGATCTGAGTAATTTGTATGTCACAGAATAGCTTTGATTAATGCCGAAACGTTTTCTATTCTATAAAAATTAAATAGGTGGTAGAAATATAGAAATTCCGTCCGGGCCACAAACCACCGTCCACCAATAAGATAGCCGAAAAAGTTTAATCACGTTTCGGTTGCAGTCTGTAGATTTCCGAATATCCAAAGCAATAATAATATAAAATAATTTAATATCTTTGTTGAAGTTTATAAGACCATAATTATCAATATTAGTTTCTTCTAAACATACATACGTATCAATTAAGACGTCATAATACAATATGTGTTATTGTCTTATGAGTTTGACGTCATAACTTGGATTAATTATTAAAATTATTAGCACACATATTAATGGCGGTTTTTGTGGTCTGAATTATTTCTTAGTAAAATACTCATATAGTTCTTTCAATATGGCATATACATATATAGCTTATTTCCTTTAAGATACCTTTTTTAACTTAATGTACCGCGGTTGGGTACAGGTACTTTTTCTAATAGGATAAAGTTTAAATAAAACACTTTTTGCATTTTAAATGGCGAAATGTTAAAGTTTTCGGCCCGACGTCCGCGACGCTTGAAGCAGCCGTGGTCACGGGGTGACTAAAGATAGAGAATGTTCCTAATGTCAAAAAAACTTCTACGCTAATACCTACTATAATATCTATTCAGCTGTAGTTTGTATTTGACGAAACTGACCGGCCAACGGAAACGTCGGGCCGTAGTTAAAATAATTTGTAAAGTTTAACTGTTACATTTCGCGATTTAAACCGTTAAAGTGTTACACTTAAATTCTACTACTAAGCTATAGATGGGAGAAGGTTCGAAGAGCCCACCATGCTGCTTTTGGGTTGGCTTTAACCACTACCTAAATCAATGATTGTAACATAACCGATGGTTTAAAATGCTTTTTGATTGATTTGGCGACTTTACCTTCTACCTCCGAAAAAAAGTAACAGTTGGTACGACCCAAGAACGAGGTAGTAAGACATTAAACTATTTTTAAAATGTACTTTGGGACGACACTATTTCGTTTAATGTCCGCGCTACCAAACAATTGACGTCAAAAGATTGAAGATTTATTGTGAGTGGTATAAATAGATTATATTATTATAGAATTTCTATTCCATGAATTCCAAAGTGCGACGGTTGGCGCCAACATTGATAACATATATCAAATGACTAGTTCCGACTAAACTGAAACAACAGACGAAAGCTAGAATGACAAGATGGACTTAAAAATTCTCGTTAATGTTCTCTTTATGATGTGTTACAACCTTGACCTTTTTTGTCTTGCCTTATCTGTGGCAAAATTATCTTATCATTTGTGTGCGGTAGGTAAAAAAATACAGTTTTAAATTATTCGTACATAGTTTATAATTGAAGCCACTAGAGACAGAGTAACCTAACTGCAATTTTATGACTTTACTTATTTATATTTTTATAGCCTAAATATGTCAATCTACAATAATTTTTACATAAATAATAGTACTAATAGATTTTCAATTAAGTTAATTGCGCATTTTCCTTCTTATTGAAAATTAAAATAAAACACTTTAACGGTTTAAAACGCGATATATTAGTTAAACTTATTTGATAATGATTTTTAACTTTAACCCGACGTTTCGGATGCTTTGCAGCAGCAGTCTCCCCGTGACCACTAATATATCGCGTTTTAAAAAGTTACAGTGTTTTATTTAAATCATGTTTTTTGTTATTAGGCTACTCTGCCCCCAGCAGGCTCAATTGCAATATTATGTAGGAACGTGTATTAAAATATCTAAGGAAGTAAGGAAGCGCATGACCGCGAACACGTCTATGTGGTCACGTAGGTATATCATATATTTTGGTAATATTATAGGTATTACTAATATATAATAAAGATGACGTTTAAATAAAAAAAATATAAAATTATAATCTATGAGAAGAAGTTTACACGCCTTAGCACTACTTG